GATGAAAGTTAATGAAGCACTCTTCGAATCATTGCTTCGAGCACGACCAAATAGACTTCGAAGTCAAATACTATGATTCTTATATTGAATTCTCTTCAGGTGTCTTGGAGAGTTGTTGCTTTCCGCGGTGCTGTAAGTTGTTGCTGAAAGGAATTGCAGCAGTTGAAATATGATGCAACAATTTTGTAGCTTCATTTTGTCTGCCCTCTTGTCTGTCTCTGAGCTGGTCGGTCTCGGTCTCGGTCTGTCTCTCTGTTTCTCTCTCTCTCTCTCTATTTGTCTATTTCTCTCTCTCTCTTCCTCTCCCTGCGTGAGATATCGACAGCAGCTGGAAGGAGTCGCTGACTCTCTCACCTGTCGCGCGCTCTTGCTGACTCCTGACATTCTTGGATTGGAAACGTTAGGTGGTTGGGAGGAGAGTCAGGAGGGATGTTCGGAGGGTGAGGAGGAGGAGGAGGGTTCAGAAGAGGACTAGGAGTGTCAGGAGTATAGTCAGGAGAGTTAGAACAGACAGGAGGAAGATCAGGAAGAGTGTCAAGAGGAGGGTCAATATGAGTGCCAGGAGGAAGATCAGCACTAAAGACAGAGGAACTCGAAAAAAATTATAAATTCTATGAACAAAGTTGAAAAGTCAACACGGTACCACACACTGCATCCGCCTGGCCAAGGGGATACCATATGGCCGAGGATTACCACTTGGCCAAGCGGTGGGCGTAGTTAAGGAAGACCGCGTGGCCAAGGGACACCCCGTGGCCAAGGGGACACCCCGTGGCCAAGGGACACCCCGTGGCCAAGGGGACACCCCGTGGCCAAGGGACACCCCGTGGCCAAGGGGACACCCCGTGGCCAAGGGGACACCCCGTGGCCAAGGGACACCCCGTGGCCAAGGGGACACCCCGTGGCCAAGGGACACCCCGTGGCCAAGGAGGTGCATGCGTAGTTAAGCTGGGCAAATGGCGTGCGTGCGTAGATAATTGTGGCTACGTGTTGGGCAGTAATATTCTACAGGTCCGCCATATAGAAACAGTTAAGCCCATGACAGGTGGGGCGGGACAGTGAGGGAAGGTCGACAGGAGACTGAAGGTCTGGACGACGGGGAAGAACGCGCTAAACCACGACACGGTGGACAGACAAGATAACGAGATGAAGAAGCTGAGACGGGCACCTGTAGCCTTCAGAGAGACGGTTGAACAAACCTGTTACATTAGGGTGGTTTAGGTTTACAATAAATCACCGTCACAACTAACGTCCCCGTTGACAGTAAACTGAAGAGTTTACTGTCAACTGAAGGTATACCTATTAGTGTATAAACTGAGTTTACTGAAGGTATACCTATTAGTGTGTAAACCTCTTTCATAACTAGTATTCATTGCATCGACAGGTGTAATTTTCAGTGTTACACGCGGATTAACCAGAATTCTAATTACCGATATATTTTGGGTCTACACAGAGCATTTACCTGAATTTACCTAAGGTCCACCATCTCTCTGAAGTGCTTCAACGAAGACAGAAAGCCGGCGGCTTGTCAAAGAACTCTCATTTTTTCAATAATTTATCTCTACAACACCTTAATTACTGAGTAGTAATAAATATCTCAGCGATAATAAATAATTAAAGTAAAACGACTATTAGTAAAATTGCCTAAAATAAATAAAAAAATAATAATAGTTTAGCCAAAGTCGATCAGTTTTCTTAGCATGAGAGAAAACGAGAGAAACGTGACAGTGCAGTAAACGATTTAAAAAATTGAGCGTAAACTAAGCTAAACTCTGCCCCAGACTTGCCTTAACCCTATTAATTTAAGCTTTTTAACCCCCTTTCCTTCCTTGGCTAGTAGAGACAAGCCTGAGCCCAGGAAAAAAATGTGGATGGTTGAAGAGGAACATAGCCAGCCAGAGACTTGGGAAAACCAAAAACTCACAAAATTACGCTAATGTTCACATTTTCGTAAAACATAAAATTGTTCCAACGGGTGATTCACCGGCTGTTTCAACGGTTGTACCATCGGTTGTTGCACCAAAATCTCTGACCCAACTTAGTTCCATAACTGATAACAAAGCACCTAGATCAGGCAGGTTCCAGCACGACGACACAGCTCACTGTTGTCCATTTCTTCAGTGATAATTAAGGTTTAAGCTCTTCTCTACACTCATATTATTAGTGCAGCAATATAATAAGAACGTTTGTCTAGTTATAGTTCATTTGTTCAGTCATATTTGAGTTCATTTGTTCAGTCATATCTGAGCTCATTTGTGCAGTCATATCTGAGCTCATTTGTGCAGTCATATCTGAGCTCATTTGTGCAGTCATATCTGAGCTCATTTGTGCAGTCATATCTGAGCTCATTTGTACAGTCATATCTGAGCTCATTTACGAAGCCATAAATTATACAGAATTCCTGCAACTAATTTTCAAAGTCCTTTGGCGGAGGCGCGACCTAGTTTGACCAAGGATACGAAGGTTATTCAATTTTCAACTTCAGCTCGACTCGCGTTGATTGAGGCTTTTGACAATCAACTCCGCTTGTTAGGGAGAGTTGAGCTGTCACAGTTATGAGGATCGAATTTTAGCGAGAAATGGAGTTTTGTTTTTCTTTCGAAATTACTTGGTTGTCGTGAGTAGCATTTTAGCTTAGGTTGTAATTTTTTTTATGCTTTGCAAATGTGTGCGTATATGGGTAGCGCGAGTAGGAGGGGGGTGTTGTTTATGTGTGTGTGCTTATCTATTTGTGCTTGCGGGGGTTGAGCTCTGGCGCTTTGGTCTCGCCTCTCAACTGTCAATCAACAGGTGTACAGGTTCCTGAGCCTATCGGGCTCTGTCATATCTACACTTGAAACTGTGTATGGAGTCAGCCTCCACCACATCACTGCCTAATGCATCCCATTTGTCAACCACAAATCTGCCTTGAAGAATGCCAAGAAACCTCTGGAATATAGATCAAGTCACTATATACCTATGTATCCTAATCCTTCATCACCCCCTACCCCCTCTCCCGAGAGTCATCAGAAGGACCCATTGGCATTAACAAGGACAAGAGAATGTAATATATAACCAAACATTATATTTTCCCAAATACAGATTAATATTAATTTATATTTTATATTTGTGTATACTTAAGCCTATGGATGGTTAAGTGTTTGGTTCTGTTGGTAGCATCTCTCCTACCTTCTTCCGCCTCGTCCTCATTTAACAAGACTATTTCACAATATCCTACATTTCTTCACCCTGTCGCTCTTTCAGTGACCAATAGCCATGATGAAATGTTAGCATGTGATGTGGCGCCCGTGTGAACCCGGACGCCATACGCCGCGGACCACTGAGCGAACACGCAGTCCCAACCCCAATATCAACTGATAACTCTATACTTTCTTATACCCATCTCTTCTCTAACCTAACCTAAGCTTATCTAACGCTAGTCTAACTTAATCTATGTTAATATAGCCTAACCTAGCCCAACATAATCTAATCTAGCCTAGCCTAACCTAATATAATGTAGCCTAGCCTTACTGAATCTAATTTAATCTTAGCCTAACAGATTAGGTTACATTAGTTTAACATAATCTAACCTAGTTTTACCCGGCCCAGCCTAATATAATCTTACCTTTCCTGATCTAATAAAATCTAACCTAATCAAGCTTAAGATTACCAAATTTAGCCTAATGTAGGAGCCTTACCAAACCTAATCTAGCATAGCGGAATGTAATGTAACAACCTAATTTAACTTAACCTAACGCCGAGTGCTAGGTTGGAGTAATTCATGTTTGAACTAGTTAATCTGTACGTGTGTTTTAAACAAGTGTTTGTGTATGTTTTAGTACATATTTGTCCCTGCACGTATATTAGTAAATATCCAGTACTTAAGCTGTGCTCACTATAATCACTATCTACCCACTATACTACACTAACCGTCTGCCCCACTATACTCACCATCTTCCCACTGTACTCACCATATACCCATCTACTCGACATACAATTGCCATTCACTCACAGGCGCGCGTGTAAGGGTGACACAGCTAGCATTTTGCAATGCTTTACAACTGGGTGCACACATCAAACTCTCTCTCAGTATCTCTCAATCTCTCTCTGTCTCCCTAACGACGTGTGACTGGCAGAGGTTATATATATACAGCAGAGTTGTTGCTGGCCTGACAGTCACAGACTCTTGCTATATCAGTGCACATCTTCGTCTCTGTGCCTCCTGGCCTCTTCGTGCTGTACAGGACACTGGAATTGGTTAAAGGTTCGAGGAGCCTACTCGCCTTCCTTGTGTTTATACTAGAGGTGGTGCTAGTAGTGTTGGAAGGAGACGAGAAGACTCAGATTACAGAAAGAAGCCTTAGCGGAAGGATATAAGTCCAGTGCTAAGTTTGTCGCCTATAGCTTCAAGCTTGAGGTTCTAGCAAGTTTTTGGCTCATAGCTTCAAGTTTCTAGCTTTAATCTTCTAGCCCGTTGTTTCAAACTTCTAACTCGTAATTTTCTAACTACGAACTTCAAGCTTCTTGGCCCTATCAGGTTCCCAGCCCCAGCTCCATCTGTGAGCAACCTGAGACACTACGCGCTGTGAGAGTTCTGGCTCTTGTGACAAGTAATGCGCTAAGTGCTGGAACTTATATTGTTGGGCAAATTAATTAATATTCAAAGGAACTCTGATTGAACGTGGAGTGTAGAACAGGCTCTAAATCCTACCAAGTCTCGCCTGCTACTGCAGAAGGTATTGTGTCTGAGTAGCTTCGTCCACTGTAAGAGTTCTGTTCAACCAATGAACTCACTCACTCGCTTAGTAAAGAAACCAAGTATACGATTACCCACTGGAAAAATAACTGTAATTACCTTGGTGAGTGGTAAAAGTCCGATCAGCTACAACTAATTTATAAACGTGGTTAAAACTACTTACAACTAGTAAACACTGAGTAAATCCAATCATGCTTTTGAGTCGTGAGTAAAACCTGAAAACTGCAACATAAAGACGAAGAAATTAATAAAAATCCTCCTAGTCAAGATGCATCTATCACCATTCTCATCAAGGTGGTGTTTACCCTTGAAAGTTGTGGTTGTGGTGGTGGCGGTGGTGGTAGTGGAGGTGCTGGCGGCGGTGTTGGCGGTGCTACCATCCACGGCAGAGCCCTCCAGGGGCCGCGACGCTCAGTACTACTTCACCAGGTGGTGGTCAAGGAGCGCACCTCATGCCAAGTTTCTGGCTCCCACGGAGGAGGTGACGCAAGAGGACCAGACGCCCCAGATACCAGCTCCTACGGCGGTATCTATGGCCACCTCCTCCCCGTACTACTTCCCCTCCTCCTTCTCCGATCTGCCACTCCATGAGGCAGAAAGCAAACTGGTGGCAGTCACGGCCGAGGCAGACACACAGATTCTGCCCCCAGAGTTCTCTGCCAACGCCACCCTCCAGAGGGACCCAAGATGTAAGTGTTCTTGCTGCATCACTCTAAAATGTAAACATTGATCAGTTATTTATTTATTTAAGCGTTGCTATGGACGTTGTCGAGTTACTCTGAACGTTACCGAGTTGCTGTGCAATTGTTTGTATGATTATGCATTTCTAGATGCTATGAAATGGTTTAACTTACAATTCAGATAGTCAAGGTCCTTTGACAATTACTCAGCTCTTTTACACTGTGTTGAGTTACTATGTTTTTATTCTTGAATTTTCAGTCTTTTGAGATAATATTTATAGATATAATTATAAATAAGACCGAATGAGTTAATTCAATGAGTCTAGCACGAATTTTTCTCTATATTTCGCATGTTCTTCACCTGAGAAGTTGAAGACTAACTGTTCAAGTCTCATTTTAAAAATTTCATTGGGCCTGACGCGTGTAGCTTAAGGACACATATTACTGAAACATTTCTCATCTTCAGAGGCAGAGATAAAGTAAATAAACTAACAGGTGACAATGTATTTTGCATGTTGGATGAGGCAAGGTGTTAATCAGTGCAAGGAACTGGGCAATCTTAACCTGCATTCTCATTGGTCGGTGGGATGTCAACTGATAGTTTCGGCTGACTCCAGTTAATGGTAGTTCATATCGAAGTGTAGGCTGGCTGGTGTAGTTGGATATGTGTTTGATATGTAGTACTTTGGTTATGCTTAAACTATTGATCATGAACAAATCCACGAGGGCCGTGATGTGTAGCCTATTGAGTATGTTGTTTGTCGGTTAGGCTATCTTTGGTGATAAATTGGTTGTATGCAAAATGTTATATTTAATTGAGATTGTTCGGGCCGACCAAACCCCAAGCATGTGATATATATATAATTTCTTATCTTTCAAGGTGTTCCAAATATATTAATACATAAATGGTAGTAACGGCATGGAAAGAGAAACAAAAAATCCGAAAGTTTCATGTATTACGGCAGAGCATCATTCCTTCATGCAGAAATGTATTTATATACAAGTTCGTTCGGATTTCCCCTTTTATACTTATACGTGGGAAATTATCAAGAGAAAGGTACGAAATTTCTCTCAAAAAGTAATAATTTATCGGAAGAGTTATGCTGTTACACCCCGCTCATAACACTGGTGTGACGGAGTTACAGCTATAGTGTTACGCAATTGTGACGGACAGCGAGGCACACACACACTAGTATATATCACACTGCGTCACGTGTTTCAGATTGCCGTCACACTACCGTCACAAACGATAAATCTGATAAATTATACGTTTAAGAGATAATTAATACTTTTCTCTTGATAATTTTCACGGCACAAATACTCACGGGAGAAAACGCAAATCTAAAAGCGATTCATATTTTCACGTCATAAAATTTTAATACGAATATAATTAACAGCTTTTACATAATTACTTTAAGTATTTGAGTTCAGGTTAATTAGGCGAGTTTCCATACTTTATTAGCTCGTATTACGAGCCTCCAAAATTTGTCTATATTTCTTGTGAATATCCTCTATATTTTTGAAGAGGTTTCGGGTCTGGACCCCATGCATCTGGCTGGACCCACATCAACCTCAGTATACAGAAAGACGGAAGCGATATTGTCTGGCGAGGACCAAGGCGTTGTTGAAGTGAAAGTTCCTCAGGCCAGCAGTGTACTCACTCATTCGTGAGACTCGGAGCACGCTAACCCCTCACAAGCATCACACACACACGCGCGCCTCCGTCATGTGGCGTTGCTGAAGCTAATGTGTATAGGGGAGGTTGCGCAATGGTCCAGGAGAAGCTGTAGAAACTGCAATATATATATATATATATATATATATATATATATATATATATATATATATATATATATATATATATATATATATACACACACATCTCAACATTCATTTCCGGAGGAGAATCCTCTGGTCTTCACTCGACACAAAATAAAAATACAACAACAGTTAGATCGGATACACATCAATTGGTATCGTCTTACCTGTCCCCGTGTATGCCAAACTACTCTCGGTGCAAAGGGTCCCTAAGGGCTGAAATGCCTCCACAAACAGTCTGGTTGATAGGGCGATCTGCCTCCCACACCGAACCATCAAAGATTAAAAATCGTACTCACAAAATTTGATTGTATCATAAGTGCTTCCCCAATATTGGCTTACGAAATGCCAGCATTCGTATCGGAGCCTGACCTGCACTGGCGGGTGCAGGCCTGGGGCAGGGCAGGGTGCAGGGCAGGGTGCAGGCCTGGGGCAGGGCAGGGTGCAGGCCTGGAGGGCAGGGCAGGGTGCAGGCCTGGGGCAGGGCAGGGTGCAGGCCTGGGGGGCAGGGCAGGGTGCAGGCCTGGGGGGCAGGGCAGGGTGCAGGCCTGGGGCAGGGCAGGGTGCAGGCCTGGGGGCAGGGCAGGGTGCAGGCCTGGGGCAGGGCAGGGTGCAGGCCTGGGGCAGGGCAGGGTGCAGGCCTGGAGGGCAGGGCAGGGTGCAGGCCTGGGGCAGGGCAGGGTGCAGGCCTGGGGGGCAGGGCAGGGTGCAGGCCTGGGGGGCAGGGCAGGGTGCAGGCCTGGAGGGCAGGGCAGGGTGCAGGCCTGGGGCAGGGCAGGGTGCAGGCCTGGGGCAGGGCAGGGTGCAGGCCTGGGGCAGGGCAGGGTGCAGGCCTGGGGCAGGGCAGGGTGCAGGCCTGGGGCAGGGCAGGGTGCAGGCCTGGGGGGCAGGGCAGGGTGCAGGCCTGGAGGGCAGGGCAGGGTGCAGGCCTGGGGCAGGGCAGGGTGCAGGCCTGGGGCAGGGCAGGGTGCAGGCCTGGGGCAGGGCAGGGTGCAGGCCTGGGGCAGGGCAGGGTGCAGGCCTGGGGCAGGGCAGGGTGCAGGCCTGGGGCAGGGCAGGGTGCAGGCCTGGGGCAGGGCAGGGTGCAGGCCTGGGGCAGGGCAGGGTGCAGGCCTGGGGCAGGGCAGGGTGCAGGCCTGGGGCAGGGCAGGCCTGGGGCAGGGCAGGGTGCAGGCCTGGGGCAGGGCAGGGTGCAGGCCTGGGGCAGGGCAGGGTGCAGGCCTGGGGGGCAGGGTGCAGGCCTGGGGCAGGGCAGGGTGCAGGCCTGGGGCAGGGCAGGGTGCAGGCCTGGGGGGCAGGGCAGGGTGCAGGCCTGGGGCAGGGCAGGGTGCAGGCCTGGGGCAGGGCAGGGTGCAGGCCTGGGGCAGGGCAGGGTGCAGGCCTGGGGCAGGGCAGGGTGCAGGCCTGGGGCAGGGCAGGGTGCAGGCCTGGGGCAGGGCAGGGTGCAGGCCTGGGGCAGGGCAGGGTGCAGGCCTGGGGCAGGGCAGGGTGCAGGCCTGGGGCAGGGCAGGGTGCAGGCCTGGGGCAGGGCAGGGTGCAGGCCTGGGGCAGGGCAGGGTGCAGGCCTGGGGCAGGGCAGGGTGCAGGCCTGGGGCAGGGCAGGGTGCAGGCCTGGGGCAGGGCAGGGTGCAGGCCTGGGGCAGGGCAGGGTGCAGGCCTGGGGCAGGGCAGGGTGCAGGGTGCAGGCCTGGGGCAGGGCAGGGTGCAGGCCTGGGGCAGGGCAGGGTGCAGGCCTGGGGGGCAGGGTGCCTGGGGGGGCAGGGGCAGGCCTGGGGGGGGCAGGCCTGGGGCAGGGCAGGGTGCAGGCCTGGGGCAGGGCAGGGTGCAGGCCTGGGGCAGGGCAGGGTGCAGGCCTGGGGCAGGGCAGGGTGCAGGCCTGGGGCAGGGCAGGGTGCAGGCCTGGGGCAGGGCAGGGTGCAGGCCTGGGGCAGGGCAGGGTGCAGGCCTGGGGCAGGGCAGGGTGCAGGCCTGGGGCAGGGCAGGGTGCAGGCCTGGGGCAGGGCAGGGTGCAGGCCTGGGGCAGGGCAGGGTGCAGGCCTGGGGCAGGGCAGGGTGCAGGCCTGGGGCAGGGCAGGGTGCAGGCCTGGGGCAGGGCAGGGTGCAGGCCTGGGGGGGCAGGGCAGGGTGCAGGCCTGGGGCAGGGCAGGGTGCAGGCCTGGGGCAGGGCAGGGTGCAGGCCTGGGGCAGGGCAGGGTGCAGGCCTGGGGGGCAGGGCAGGGTGCAGGCCTGGGGCAGGGCAGGGTGCAGGCCTGGGTGCAGGCCTGGGGCAGGGTGCAGGCTGGGGCAGGGGCAGGGTGCAGGCCTGGGGCAGGGCAGGGTGCAGGCCTGGGGCAGGGCAGGGTGCAGGCCTGGGGCAGGGCAGGGTGCAGGCCTGGGGCAGGGCAGGGTGCAGGCCTGGGGCAGGGCAGGGGCAGGGCAGGGTGCAGGCCTGGGGCAGGGCAGGGTGCAGGCCTGGGGGAAATACGTATGGAATTTACCTTTAGCAAGGTGCATTTGGTATGGCCATCAATTAGGTAATTTAAAATAAATTACTCTGGAAATTTCCGTAATGTTACTATAATGCAGAGCGATTAGATGAGAACTTTATTTGTAACAACGTACACAAACCTGGTTCCACTGAACAAGTGTACAGCTGTATCAAAATTACGTATTTATGTAACTTAGGAACACTTACTTTACAACTTGAATGGTGGTATATATTGGTAAAAGTGTGTGTAGTAATGCTGACAACAGTAGTGGTCATGACAAGTAGGAAAACCTACCGTGTGCTTCTAGAGATTGTGTGTGTGTGTGTGTGTGTGTGTGTGTGTGTGTGTGTGTGTGTGTGTGTGTGTGTGTGTGTGTGTGTGTGTGTGTGTGTGTACTACTTACCTAGTTACCTAGTTGTGCTTGCGGGGGTTGAGCTCTGGCTCTTTGGTCCCGCCTCTCATCTGTCAGTCACCTGATGTACAGGCTCTATCATATCTACACTTGAAACTGTGTATGGAGTCAGCCTCCACCACATCACTTCCTAATGCATTCAATTTGTCAACTACGTAGATACTGAAAAAAATTATTTCTAACGTCTCTATGACTCATTTGGGCACTCAGTTTCTACCTGCGTCCCCTAGTGCGTTTGCCCCTTGTGTTAAATAGTCTGTCTTTATCTACCCTATCAATTCCTTTGAGAATCTTGTATGCGGTGATCATGTCCCTCCTAACTCTTATGTCTCCCAGTGACGTGAGGTTTAATTTTCGTAGTCTCTCCTCGTAGCTCATATCCCTCAGCTCGGGTACTAGTCTGGTGGCAAACCTTTGAACCTTTTTTCAGTTTAGTCTTATCCTTGACTAGATATGGACTCCATTCTGTGGCTGCATACTCCAGGATTGGTCTGACATATGTGGTATACAAAGTTCTGAATGATTCCTTACACAAGTTTCTAAATGCCTTTCTAATGTTAGCCAACCTGGCATATGCTGCTGATGTTATCCTCTTGATATGAGCTTCAGGGGACAGGTCTGGCGTGATATCAACCCCCAGGTCTTTCTCTCTGACTCATGAAGAATTTCATCTCCCAAATGATACCTTGTATCTGGTCTCCTGCTCCCTACACCTGTCTTCATTACATTACATTTGCTTGGGTTAAACTAACAACCTTTTGTGTGTGTGTGTGTGTGTGTATGTGTGTGTGTGTGTGCGCGCGCGCGTGCAAACGCACCGCCTGAAACGCAATGCTAAACGCAAAAATCACTGCACAACAACGGGCGTGAGATGACAAATTCCATTAAGACATGAGCGGGAGGCGGCGCCTGCTGGAGTGTGGGGCTCCCAGCTCCCGTCACCAGTGCACACGGTGACGGGGTCCAGCGTGCCGGACGCTGCCTCGCATTACAACGTCGCTCAGAAGCCTAACTCGGAGTTCTTTCTAGGCGATCTGCACCACAGCCTTTGTTAGACCATTACTTTGACTAAACCTTTTCCACTTTAGTCTTATGCTTGACTAGATATGAACTCCATGCAGCACCGACCTCGAATCCGCACCTTGGAAGCTCGGAGTTAAAATGGTAAAAGTTGAAAGGTTTGCAATGTGATTAGCGCTAGAGGTAAGAGGACAGAGCTACGAGTATAAGTGAGGTAGAGCTCAGTTACAGCCCCACTCCTGTGCCAGGCAAGTCCACTCACTACGGGCTCACCATAGCCCGTGCTACTTGGAACTTTTTGTACCGAGTAGCTGAATCTAAAACAGTCTCAAAACCCCTGAAGGAGAGAAGAAACAGAGGGGGCATGATTGCAACATACAACATACTGAGGGGAATTGATAACATGGACAAGGGAAGCCTATTTATAACCAGAGAAAGTAGGACAAGAGGACACAAGTGGAAGCTGGAAACACAAATGAGTCGAAGAAACATAAGGGAAATACTCGTGTTCTGTACAGATGGTCAACAAGTGGAATGCATTAAAAAGACGGCGTTGTGGAAGCCACCTCCATCCTCAACTTTAAAGCCAGATTCGACATGTAATTGAACGTCAAAATAGTTAAATTATACCGCAACGGGTACAACAAGGCTTGTAGGAGAGGCATAATAATCTAGACCTCACTTCCCGGTAGACTCTAATTGGTAAGTAATTGTCAAAAGAAGAAACTAAGCCGGGAAAACTATGTAGTACCGCACAGATAGGTACGTACACACACACACACACACACACACACACACACACACACACACACACACACACACACACACACACCTAACTACCCCCTACCCTACTCCGCCGTGGTGGAGGGGGGGGGGGGGAGGAGGATCCATTACGTTTCTTTGCTTTCATATTTGTCAGCCATTGTGGAAGACGGGTCCGTGCTTGTAAACATTATTCACACTAAAATAGGCTTTTCAGCGCGCTAAAAAGCCTTATGTAAATATTGTATACACATCTCTTGGACTAAGGTAAGAGAGAGAGTGAGCAAGAAAGTGTGTAGTATGCGTGTACTCACCTATTTGTGCTTGCGGGGGTTGAGCTCTGGCTTTTTGGTCCCGCCTCTCAACTGTCAATCAACTGGTGTACAGGTTCCTGAGCCTATTGGGCTCTCATATTTACACTTGAAACTGTGTATGAAGTCAGCCTCCATTACATCACTTCCTAATGCATTCCATTTGTCAACCACTCTGACACACAAAAAAAATTTCTAATATATCTGTGGCTCATTTGGGCACTCAGTTTCCACTTGTGTCCCCTTGTGCGTGTGCCCCTTGTGTTAAATAGCCCGTCTTTATCTACCCTATCAATTCCCTTGAGAATCTTGAATGTGGAGATCATGTCCCCCTAACTCTTCTGTCTTCCAGCGAAGTGAGGTTTAATTCCCGTAGTCTCTCCTCGGAGCTCATACCTCTCAGCCCGAGTACTAGTCTGGAGGCAAACCTTTGAACCTTTTCCAGTTTAGTCTTATCCTCGACTAGATATGGACTCCATGCTGGGGCTGCATACTCCAGGATTGGTCTGACATAGGTGGTATACTAAGTTCTGAATGATTCCTTGCACAAGTTTTTAAAGGCCGTTCTTATGTTAGCCAACCTGGCATATGCCGCTGATGTTATCCACTTGATATAAGCTTCAGGGGACAGGTCTGGCGTGATATCAACCCCCAGGTCTTTCTCTCTCTCTCTGACTCTTTAAGTATTTCATCTCCCAAATGATACCGTGTAACTGGTCTCCTGCTCCCTACCCCTATCTTCATTACATTACATTTGCTTGGGTTAAACTCTAACAACCATTTGTTCGACCATTCCTGCAGCTTGTCCAGGTCTTCAATTGAAGCCTCAAGCTGTCCTCCTCTGTCTTAATCCTTCTCATAATTTTGGCGTCGTCAGCAAACATTGAGAGGAATGAGTCTATACCCTCTGGGAGATCATTTACATATATCAGAAACAGGATAGGTCCGAGTACAGAGCCCTGTGGGACTCCACTGGTGACTTCACGCCAATCTGAGGTCTCACCCCTCACTGTAACTCTCTGCTTCCTATTGCTTAGGTACTCCCTTATCCACTGGAGCGCCCTACCAGTTACTCCTGCCTGTTTCTCCAGCTTATGCATCAGCCTTTTATGGGGTACTGTGTCAAAGACTATCCGACAGTCCAAAAAAATGCAGTCCGCCCATCCTTCTCTTTCCTGCTTAATCTTTGTCACCTGATCGTAGAATTCTATTAAGCCAGTAAGGCAAGATTTACCCTCCCTGAACCCATGTTGATGGGTTGTCACGAAGTCCCTTCTCTCCAGATGTGTTACTAGGTTTTTTCTCACGATCTTCTCCATCACCTTGCATGGTATACAAGTTAAGGACACTGGCCTGTAATTCAGTGCCTCTTGCCTGTCGCCCTTTTTATATATTGGGACTACATTAGCCGTCTTCCATACTTCTGGTAGGTCTCCCGTTTCCAGTGACCTACTATACACTATGGAGAGTGGCAAACAAAGTGTTCCTACACACTCTTTCAATACCCATGGTGAGATTCCGTCCGGCCCAACAGCTTTTCTCACGTCCAGCTCCAATAGGTGCTTCTTGACCTCATCTCTTGTAATTTCGAACCTTTCCAAGGTCGGTCATAGAAGTATTTGTGTGTACGTCTGATACCATACTACTTGTGAAGGAGGAAATGTATATGTTTATCTCTCAGAATGTTTGGTAACATGTTTATTGTTTGTGATGTGTGTCTTTGTATGTACTAACACGTTGTACTGAACGGGGTGAGAATAGCTTGAGCTACCTCATCCCTTTGTGTGTATTTTACCTCAAAAAACTTATTTCAATTTCAATTTCCAAGGTCGCCTGGTGTGTGTGTGAGTGAGAGAGAGAGTGAGAGAGAGAGAGTGAATCCGTATAATACTCATAACTCTTCCAGTGGAAGTCGGTGTATAGCAAACATCTTCACTATTTGTTTATTTTTTTTTCACCTGGAGGTCTAAGTTCAAAAATTCAATCCCCAGAGTTTACTCGGTAAATGGTCCTCATGGCTGACCGTCCTCGTTAAAGGACGTGTTTACCCAACCAACACCTTAGCATCTTCGGAGGCAGCAGAAAAACAAATACAAATAGTTTTGGTGTTTGCCTTAAACCCTATTCACCTCTCAAGGGTTATTAAGCTCACCACAATATTTTTCTGACAATCCTGCAAATATAATTTAGACCTGAACATAGTTCAGAATTTAATTAACCTCTCAGTGTTTAAAGCCAAGCGAAGATAACGACCGAGTCTACCTTCTCAGTCTTCCAGATCGGGCTGACGCCGGTGTTCTCACTCTTCAACATCGGGCTGGTGAGCGGCGCCGCCTGCACCGCCTCCTCCGGGGACAACGGCACCTGCTACTCCTCCAAAGAGTGCACGAGGCTGGGCGGCTCCTCCTCCGGCAGCTGCTCCACCGGCTCCGGGACCTGCTGTCTCTGTGAGTATGTGGGCGGGGTGTAGGGGTTGAGGTTCTGAGAGTGTATGGGGGGTTGGAGTATTGAGGTGAGGTGTGCGGGGTTCGATGTATTGACGTGAGGTGCCTGTGAAGTGATATGAAGAGTAATATTTATAAAGTAGAGTTATAAGTCTCAAGCAGGAACACAAGCCAAGTTAAGCCTTTTATAGTTTACGGTCACGATTCATAATAATCTGGTAATGATCATGTTGAGTGGTGGATATTTTTAATATGGAGAGTTAAATCGATATATATATATATATATATATATATATATATATATATATATATATATATATATATATATATATATATATATATATATATATATATATATATATGCAAACAAGCCTGAATGGTCCCCAGGACTATATACAACTGAAAACTCACACCCCAGAAGTGACTCGAACCCATACTCCCACAACTGGTATGTACAGGGACGCCTTAATCCGCTTGACCATCACGACCGGACATAAGGAAGTGATAGCCGAGGCTATATGAACCACTTCCCCGCCGGCACTCGGATGGTAATCTTGGGCATAGCATTTTATCAAATCACCTCATTCTTTGGGGCACACGTGAGGAACACAAATGCAAACAAGCCTGAATGGTCCCCAGGACTATATACAACTGAAAACTCACACCCCAGAAGTGACTCGAACCCATACTCCCACAACTGGTATGTACAGGGACGCCTTAATCCGCTTGACCATCACGACCGGACATAAGGAAGTGATAGCCGAGGCTATATGAACCACTTCCCCGCCGGCACTCGGATGGTAATCTTGGGCATAGCATTTTATCAAATCACCTCATTCTTTGGGGCACACGTGAGGAACACAAATGCAAACAAGCCTGAATGGTCCCCAGGACTATATACAACTGAAAACTCACACCCCAGAAGTGACTCGAACCCATACTCCCACAACTGGTATGTACAGGGACGCCTTAATCCGCTTGACCATCACGACCGGACAAATCACAAAGAATGAGGTGATTTGATAAAATGCTATGCCCAAGATTACCATCCGAGTGCCGGCGGGGAAGTGGTTCATATTGCCTCGGCTATCACTTCCTTATGTCCGGTCGTGATGGTCAAGCGGATTAAGGCGTCCCTGTACATACCAGTTGTGGGAGTATGGGTTCGAGTCACTTCTGGGGTGTGAGTTTTCAGTTGTATATAGTCCTGGGGACCATTCAGGCTTGTTTGCATTTGTGTTCCTCACGTGTGCCCCAAAGAATGAGGTGATTTGATAAAATGCTATGCCCAAGATTACCATCCGAGTGCCGGCGGGGAAGTGGTTCATATAGCCTCGGCTATCACTTCCTTATGTCCGGTCGTGATGGTCAAGCGGATTAAGGCGTCCCTGTACATACCAGTTGTGGGAGTATGGGTTCGAGTCACTTCTGGGGTGTGAGTTTTCAGTTGTATATAGTCCTGGGGACCATTCAGGCTTGTTTGCATTTGTGTTCCTCACGTGTGCCCCAAAGAATGAGGTGATTTGATAAAATGCTATGCCCAAGATTACCATCCGAGTGCCGGCGGGGAAGTGGTTCATATAGCCTCGGCTATCACTTCCTTATGTCCGGTCGTGATGGTCAAGCGGATTAAGGCGTCCCTGTACATACCAGTTGTGGGAGTATGGGTTCGAGTCACTTCTGGGGTGTGAGTTTTCAGTTATATATATATATATATATATATATATATATATATATATATATATATATATATATATATATATATACACATATATATATATATATATTATTAAATATGACCGAAAAAGTAAGATTAATAATTCTAACACGATTTTTCTCAATCTTTCGTACATTACGCTTCACTGTTGGAGGTAAATCAAAAATCACTTCTCCAAAATTCATTTTTATTTCTAGTCTGACGCGACACGGGCGCGTTTCGTAAAACTTATTACATTTTCAAAGACTTCACAAATACACAACTGATTAGAACTTACGTATCTCTGATTTTATATCTACATTTGAGTGAGGTGGGAGGGGTGATGTAGCATTAACACAAGACAGAACAAGAGGGGATATTAATAGGGTATTAAAAGTATCAACACAAGACAGAACAGAAACAATGGGTATTGAATAGAAGGGTAAGGCAGGTCCTAGTCAATAACGGCTTCTCCAATGGTTTCATCGAAGACATCATAAGAAGGAAAGTGAAAAGCCATGCAACCTCTGAAGAGACAACTAACACAACACCTATACCCCCTATTAGACTATTTTACAGGAACTTCTTTTCCACAGCTCATAAAACGGAGGAAAGGGTCCTGAAAGATATTGTTAATAGAAACGTTATCCCTACAGACAAAAATCAGAGGATACAACTGACGATTTACTATAAAACCAGAAAAACGGCCAGCCTACTCATGAGAAACTCTCCAGACACAAAACAGAACGCTTTAAAAGAGACTAACGTCGTCTATGCCTTCAAATGCCCACTTGGGGACTGTAAGCTCCAAAAAACCCAGTATATAGGCAAGACAACAACATCTCTTTCTAGGCGTTTAACGATGCATAAGCAACAGGGCTCCATTAAGGAACATATAATCTCTTCCCATAACCAAACCATTGCCAGAGAAATCCTAGTAAACAACACAGAAATCATCGATAGATACAGCGATAGCAGGCGGCTTGACGTTTGCGAGGCACTACACATCAAGAAGTCAACACCAGCAATCAACAGCCAATTATTGCACAACTATATTCTACCCACCTCAAGACTCCGCTCCAATATAGAAGCATCAAGAAATATGGACCAATAGGCTTTCTACAAACACTTCTATTCAATACCCATTGTTTCTGTTCTGTCTTGTGTTGATACTTTTAATACCCTATTAATATCCCCTCTTGTTCTGTCTTGTGTTAATGCCACATCACCCCTCCCACCTCACTCAAATGTAGATATAAAATCAGAGATACGTAAGTTCTAATCAGTTGTGTATTTGTGAAGTCTTTGAAAATGTAATAAGTTTTACGAAACGCGCCCGTGTCGCGTCAGACTAGAAATAAAAATGAATTTTGGAGAAGTGATTTTTGATTTACCTCCAACAGTGAAGCGTAATGTACGAAAGATTGAGAAAATTCGTGTTAGAATTATTAATCTTACTTTTTCGGTCATATTTAATAATATATGTCTACAGGAAAGACTGCTACCAAAATATACTAACATATATATATATACACATATATGTATATATATATATATATATATATATATATATATATATATATATATATATATATATATATATATATATATATATATACACACATATATGTAAGCCATATTAAAGAAATAACCAGTGTAAAGAGGACCTGGTCGAGGAAATCTTTGCGGGATTCCTGGGCAGCTAAGTGGAAGTACACGATCTCAGTAACACACACTAATACAGACTGGGTTACTCTCACAGCCTCAGGCACTACCACCATCCACTAACAAATCAGTTCAGACCACCTCAACAAAGAGACAGCAGATGTATTGTGCCTTAAAACTTTACGAACACTATATGAGATCTCCAGCCAAACAGCAATAATGGCTCCCCATGCAGGTGATTTTCTATTATCGACTCCCCCCACCCCCCATATCAAACCAGGCACATGTCTCAAGAAGTAAATCCTCCTAATTACAGTGGGTTTGTATCTCCTTGAACCAATTCTTACAAAATCTATATTTGTTGTATCTTAGAGAGGTCTGTTTCAGGATTGGGTAGATTTCAGGATCTGTTTCAGGATTATGGTTGGTGAAGGGATCTTCGAAGACTAAAACAATAGAGAATATATATATAGATGGGTTATAATAGGTACTGAATTAGTAGCTATATGTAATATATCAAATCAGACTTACACATACTGATAAACAAATGAATAATATGAATAATATTCAATGCCAATGAATAATAACAAGTGTATAATGATAATGTTTAGAGGAGAGTAACTGTGGAGCACCTGAGTAACGCGCGGCCTCTCACTACACAGTTCAGAAGACGTGCGGGGGCGTGACCTCCCAGAACTGCACATACTTCGTCAATTCTAACTACCCTAAATCCTTCAATGACGTCGGGTCCTGTCAGCTGACCATCAACAAGGTTAATAGCAACATTTGTCAACTTAGGTAAGTGACTGAGATGACCTCTGTCTGTCTGTCTGTTTGTCTCTCTCTCTCTCTCTCTCTCTCTCTCTCTGTCTCTCTCTCTCTCTCTCTCTCTCGGCACTCCTTTCCCTTCGTTTCATCTTTTCCTTTTTACTCTCCATTCTTCTCCCCCAATCTCTTCCCTCCCTTTCCCACTCTGGTCTGCATATCCTTCCCTCCCATCTTCACTCTCACTCTTGTCTCTATCTTCTCTCCCTCTCTCACCATTCCCACCTTTCTCATCTCCCCTCCCCCCTGCTCTCACTCCTTGTCGCTAACGTTATCTTAGTGTGCAAATATCAAAAGTTATGATAAAGTGACTACGTCCTGAAGCGGTCTTCCGGTTCTCCGCACCCCGGAGTGTTGGTCTCCTGGGGTGTTGGTCTCCTGGAGTGTTGGTCTCCCGGGGTCTTCAACCCAGCACATCTAGGTGGGAGAGCACGTTTAGGTAAGCTCATCTAGGGGAGAACGTACGCGCGCACACGCACGCACAAACACACTAAGTAATAATCCAAGAAAGCACCAAGCTGGGAAGATTAGGACAAATGTGCGGAATAATCAGAGGGCGCTAAATAATAGCACTTTCTCTGCTATTCTCCATGTATGATAAGCAGGATGGTGGGGCGGCATGGCAATGGGTAACCGAAGGTCTTATAAGAGACGGGGCCCAGGACCTGAAGCTCTCCCTGCAAGCACGTGTAGGTATGTGAGGATACACACACACACACACATATCAAAATATTGAACAATAAAAGTTTGTGAAATAGCTTTGTGTTTATGTTACAAAAACTGCCAAGTTTTATCAATACCGCAATCGCGAATGAAATTGGAAAATAGAACTTTTGGGAGTAGAACAAAGTTTTCTGGGTGTGCCTCGTCCTCTGCCCTTTTCTTCACCACTCTCTCCCTCCTCTCTCTCTCTCTCTCTCCCTCCTATTTCCCTCTTTCCTTCCTCCTCTCTGTTTGTCTCTCTCTCTCTCTCTCTCTCTCTCTCTCTCTCTCTCTCTCTCTCTCTCTCTCTCTCTCTCTCTCTCTCTCTCTTCTACTACCAGTATGAATGGCCATCGCCACCCACAACTGCATCATCATACCATACAGAACACATCACCAACACTCGAACCACCACAGTAAAAGAGAACTTCCCACAGTCGATGAGAACTGTCCCCAGTTGACAACACTAACTGACATCCCCCTCCCCGCAGCCTCCAGTCCTCTCATAATGTAGTTACGACCCGCACGCTGCCACCACCACCTCACGCACCCACAACCACCACTATCTAATATTTCCACAAACAGTCGCAAGCCAAACAACCTCAAGATAAGCCATCACTGCAAGTCCCGCAACTTGTACACTCTCTCCTCAACCTAAGACCACTATCCGCTGTTTTCAACCCTCATCCGCACCAAGCATCTATAACCACACCCACAAACTTCACATACAACAAGCCACAACACTACAACCCATGAGACGAACCAGGTCGACCGTCTTCGGGGTGCTACCTAATGGCCAGTGTCCAAGAGCAGCGCCAATTCGTCGCCGAATCAACGTCATGAACGTTGAATTAACGTTTATGGGTGTTGATTCAGCGTCGAACCAACGCCACTCTCAGACATCGCCGCCTCTGGGCACATGATCCGCCAACGCCTCTGAAAATATGAATAATTGTCAACAGAACCTAAATATTTAACCTAATCTAGACCTAACTATGCATAAATCTTAATATTTTACATATTTAAAATACTAATATTGAATACACAGTTCAATCACATTAACGATTGCATTTTTGGAGTCGAGTTACACAGGAATACATATACTTATACCCCCTGAGTAGTGGACCTCGCTGCTCGGTGTTTGTACACCGAGAGGTCCTTGTAGTCCAGGACAATGTGTAGAGGTACAGTACAGCCACTACACTCTGCATTTTACCTCCCACTTCACTAAAGCCACTACACTCTTCACTTCATCTCCCACTTCACTAAAGCCACAACACTCTGCACTTCACCTCCCGCCAGGCTGGACTTCGACAACTTCATGCTGCTTCAGCCGGAGTCTGTGGACCACCAGTGCGTCAACGACAGGTTCACGGTGTCGGGAGGCACGCCCGTCCCCACCATCTGCGGCACCAACTCGGGTAACCACAGTGAGTACCACTCCCTCAACCTGTCCTCTTAAAAATAACGTCGCTCTTGGCCGTTTACCCGTATGGCCGAAAGTGGACGTAATTTGAAAATGAAACTAAATTTTGGATTTTTTTTTTCAACAACAGTAAGTTAAGGGTCCTCTGGTAGGTTAGGTGGGCAGGAAATTCTCTTAAAGTTTCAAATTTTTATGAAAAATGTTAATTGAAAGTTCACTCTCCTAACCTTTCCGAGTAGGCCGGACGACTCAAACAGAAAACAGGACAGTACGTCACTTTTGTGAGTCAATTTCATTTCAAATTACGTCAATGTGGCTAGGTGGCGGGGCTGGGCTGGGTGGTGGAGCTGGGACGTGACACCAGTGACAGCTACTATCCTATCCTATATCCGTAAGTATTTTTTATATTGTGATCATATGCGCTCTGTTTCTCACAGCCCTCACCATCACCACCTTCTCCACCATCCTCACCATCACCACCCTCACCATCACTACAGTACACAGGCGCCACATTAATATTCTGAGAGAGATGAACACAATTACTATGGAAGGTGAATTACTAATGACAAGTTATTAGTGTTTTGTTCATAATTAACATCATTTACCTTGCATTTACCTGAAGTAATTGATATGCTGAGAGGCGAGGGAGCAGACGTGCAGCAGAGGGCTGATTCCGCCACTGCTTGGGTCGAGTCTCCTGCCTTAACCACACTATAACCCAGCTCTCAGTGTAACCACACTGGAGCCACACTATAACCCAGCTCTCAGTGTAACCACACTGGAACCACACTATAACCCAGCTCTCAGTGTAACCACACTGGGGCCACACTATAACCCAGCTCTCAGTGTAACCACACTGGGGCCACACTATACCCAGCTCTCAGTGTAACCACACTGGGGCCACACTATAACCCAGCTCTCAGTGTAACCACACTGGGGCCACACTATACCCAGCTCTCAGTGTAACCACACTGGGGCCACACTATAACCCAGCTCTCAGTGTAACCACACTGGGGCCACACTATACCCAGCTCTCAGTGTAACCACACTGGGGCCACACTATAACCCAGCTCTCAGTGTAACCACACTGGGGCCACACTATACCCAGCTCTCAGTGTAACCACACTGGGGCCACACTATAACCCAGCTCTCAGTGTAACCACACTGGGGCCACACTATACCCAGCTCTCAGTGTAACCACACTGGGGCCACACTATAACCCAGCTCTCAGTGTAACCACACTGGGGCCACACTATACCCAGCTCTCAGTGTAACCACACTGGAGCCACACTATAACCCAGCTCTCAGTGTAACCACACTGGAGCCACACTATAACCCAGCTCTCAGTGTAACCACACTGGAGCCACACTATAACCCAGCTCTCAGTGTAACCACACTGGAGCCACACTATAACCCAGCTCTCAGTGTAACCACACTGGGGCCACACTATAACCCAGCTCTCAGTGTAACCACACTGGAGCCACACTATAACCCAGCTCTCAGTGTAACCACACTGGAGCCACACTATAACCCAGCTCTCAGTGTAACCACACTGGAGCCACACTATAACCCAGCTCTCAGTGTAACCACACTGGGGCCACACTATAACCCAGCTCTCAGTGTAGCCACACTGGGGCCACACTATACCCAGCTCTCAGTGTAACCACACTGGAGCCACACTATAACCCAGCTCTCAGTGTAACCACACTGGAGCCACACTATAACCCAGCTCTCAGTGTAACCACACTGGAGCCACACTATAACCCAGCTCTCAGTGTAAATACTGCTCAGTACATGTTGAAGTAATCAGTTATTGTTAACTATCGTTGCTTGTTGGTTTCCAGGTCGTTAAGTCTGGCTTGATTCGCGTTGTTCCATTATGCTTAAGCACGAGTCTGCCTTTGTCCCTTGTGTATTCTTATCTAATAGCCTGAACTGCACCGCTTGGCTAAGTAAGCAAGCCGCCCGATTTGCTTAACAGGCAGAGCTATTTTTTAATTTTTTTAATATATCTTTCCAAATTGGTTCATTCCTAACAACAATATTAACAATATATAAAAAGGAACAAATACTCACTCACCTTAACTCACTCGCCTCAACCCACTCACCCTAACCCACTTGTTAACTTGATTGGCAAGTAAATACAAGTCAATATTGTATATATTAAATTGTTGTAACCACCATGTACACGTTAAGGCAATCCTTCACTTACCGTAGTTACCCGCCCTGGTAGCCCCCCCCCCCTCACTGCTCAAGTATGTTTACCGAGACAAAATACATTTAAAAAATGATAGCGTAGCCTAGGCTATTTCTACCCTCCTTGACCGTTACTCCTCTTCTCAGTGTATGTTGACCTCGGCCCAGGAGCCACCACCCCCACCGTCATGACCTTCATCACCATGGGCCCCTCCTTTGACCGCAAGTGGAAGGTCAAAGTCTCCCAGATTCCCTGCAACACCGACTACACAGGTGAGCCAATGTGGCCGAGTCCTGTTAGGCTACCGTTCATCCACATTCCGTGCTCCAATAAAGATTTTTTAACTATTACTACTGCTACTATCGGATAAAAGTTTTAGATAAATATCGTCCCCCATTGCAGCTCCGACGAGCTGTCTCCAGTACCTGCAGGGAGTCACGGGACAGATCAAGTCATTTAACTTCGACTTGGCGACAGGTCTCCAGCTCTCGAACCAAGACTACACCATATGCATCAGGCCAGAGAAGAACTTCTGCGGCATCCAGTACATGGCTTGTGATGACACAGGTAAGGTGACAGTGACACAGGTAAAGGTGACAGTGACACAGGTAAGGTGACAGTGACACATAAGGTGACAATGACACAGGGGAGACGATAATGTGGTGGTGCTAGGCTCTCACTCCCTCCCTCTCTCGCTCTCACTTCACTCTCCCAACGCCACGCTTGGCAGCTTAACTCTTGTTTAACTAGCACGCAGAGCTTACCAGTTATTAGAAACAAAGTCTTAGCTACCATTAGGGAGATAGTGTTAAAAGATGTGCAGGTAACTGTGCGCTCCTCCCACAGTCAACACCAACCCGCAGTCATTCACCATCACGGGAAGTACGGCGTCACCCGTGGGCAGCGTAGTGGGCGCCACGGACTGCAACAAGGACTGGCTCACCATCCCCTGTGTGTCGGACAACTCCAGGAACCCGACTACCAACTGTCAGGACCGGCTCTGTGGCGACAATCTCAACGTCGTCGCTTCGACCACCGGCGGCAACGTCAGGGTTTTCAGTAAGTGGCGTTGTTTTTGTGTATTTGGACGAGTCCCCCCTGCAAAACATTTTGAAGGGGGGACTCAACCCAGTTCACTAATATCATATACACCCACACGACCCCTATTCTTGTGCTTAGTCTGAAAAGTGGCCGACATGTAATATAAACCCAAATAACAGTTCAGGTAAATTAAAACACTTACAGGACAGCCAAGACATTATTTAGGGAAATTCTTTATAATTAATCAAATATTCAACAATGTGTATAAAATTTACCTGTTGAGTTTGACTGGTATAACTGAACATTCATGGAGGCAGGAAGTGACTGTTGGGGACACAGTGTCTCCTCTCCCTGATACTTGTCTATCATTGCCTCGTAGTATTCTTCTTGCCTTAATAAACTTTATTATAAATATTTAAAATTTGGTATTTATGTAAATTAAGTACAATACAGTATCACAAATTATAATCGTAAGTAATGTTATAGTTATCTTGTACGCAAGTAAAGCAACTAATACTTATTGTTGTTAACCTCACGACCCAGTGTAGAGCATTGCTCTAGAGCCGGGCCTAGAGCCTGCTCTAGAGCCAGGCCTAGAGCCTGCTCTGAAGCCGGGCCTAGAGCCTGCTCTGGAGCCAGGCCTAGAGCCAGCTCTAGACCCTGCCCTAGACCATGACCTAGAAGCTGTTGAGCCTGGCCTCAGGCCGGGCTCGGGGAGTAGAAGAACTTCCGAAACCCTCTCCAGGTATGCCTTAGACGCATGAAGAGTAAGGGCTGACATGATTGGGGGCATAGGATAGAATATAATACAGGCAAAATAATGTTTTAAATATATCAACACAGAATAGAACACGAAACCATGCATATAAATTTAGATTTATATAAAAAAAATGGGTAAATACTGGTATGGAAAAAAAATGATTGTTGATTTATGGACCAAATTACTGGGTAACGTAACAGACGTTTGATCGTTGGATTATATTAAGCGTAAGTTGCGTATTTTTTTTATGTTTCACTTAACTCTTCCTACGTCTTTACTCTAAACTCTTTCTCTGCGACAGGTTACGTGAAGCCGTTCTTCCTGGTGTACCACACAGACAACACTGAGGGCAGCGCCAGCCCCGCTGAGCTCAACAATCGTGGCTTCTGTCTCAACTACGTCCAACAGCCCTGTGTCTAGTTCCCACTCACAGACAGGAAGCCATCCCTGGAAACACAAACCGTAACTGACCCTATTTTCCGCTTGTTACAACTTGTAATAAAGTTGTTACATCTTGGCTTAACGTGTTTTTGACGTATTAAAACGTTGTTACAACTTGAAATATTGGTTCTTATAACTTGTTAGGTGTTAAATCTTGTTCGAACGTTGTAGCAACGTCGTAGTTTCGCTGTGTTTGGCGGGATTTGAACTTATCGAGCTCGACTGGCCTTTCCCAAGATGTGACCCAATGTATTAGTTTAAATGCCAGGTACCTATATACAACCCGTCCTCACACTAGACTGGTTAAAGCAGCGGCCATCTCCCAAGACGCATTCATCAATTTTAACATACTGTGAATTAATAATTGGGTTGTTCTCGTATATAAATTAATACTATTATACATAAAAATTCTATGTACAGTTAAGCGTGGTTAGGTTAGTTGTTTAGGTTCTGTTGGCAATTATTTGTATTTGAAGTACGTGGGTGAAGCATTTGCAAAATTGTGGTTCGAACAGAGGACGTGAGCGAAGCACTTGTTCCGGAAGTGTTCGGACGTCATCAGTTGAGAGTCGTGTGTAAATATGCCTTTTATCATATTAGATTTAGTTTTATAATAGCAAGATATTATGCCAGTAGTTAAGTAAATAAACACTGGTGAACATGAAATATGAGGTGATGATCTCGGGCTGATGGGAGCATTTACTATCACCAAATGCCCCTGTTCATCTAGCAATAAGTATAGCTAGGGGTGTACCTTAGCTATTCATAAAAAATTTTAATTTATTTTGTTTGGTTTTATTTTGAAATTAAATCTGGGTGAGACATAAAAGAAAAATATGCTGCACAAATTATGTTAGGTAAGGAGAAGGGTAAAAACTTCGAAACCTTTTCTCATTGAATACTTAACCTATAATTATGACTATATGGACTATTATGGCCTGTTAAAAAAAAGAGAGGGGGAGAGTAGGGATCCAAGACTTCTTCCTGTTACACAATTTGGCTGTATGTAACAATAAGTAATTATCAAAAGAAGGCACCCAGCCGGGAAAGCTATGTAGCAGTAAGGCAGTGAGGTGAGGCAGCTACTTATTTGAGGAATGTTTATTTTATTTTGTTTACCTTATAAGCTGAGGCAGTTTATTTTATTTGAGGAATGCTCAGCTCATTCCTTTACATTTAGCATGAAAGAAATCTGTGTCCAAGACCTCTTCCTGTTATACAATTTGGCTGTGTAACAATAAGTAATTATCTAAAGAAGGCACCCAGCCGGGAAGGCTATGTAGCAGCAGTGTGTGTAACAATAAACCAATTTTTTTAACAGATAATACTCCTGTGGATGAAACAAATCCCGTCAGCTGTAAAAATATTGATTCATTTATTTAAATAAAAAATATAATGATACAAATATTAATGGGTTATTTATCCTATTTTTTCTAATGTATATCCAGAGAAGTGAAAAATTGAGACATACTGCACAATTTAATGATTCAAAAGAAATATTAATAACATTCTTATCTTCTTTTTACCTTCTAGTGTGTGGTTTGGTCAACATTACTAACTTACTAACATTACATATCAATATGAGATCTTAATGATCCATGGTTCACATTTATTATTTAATAAAGATAATACTGGTAATAATAATAATAATACAAGCTATAATAAAAAAACTTTATTACCGATTTCTTTTTATTAACAAGCTTAGGTATACACAGCAAAGTGCTGCTACCCTATTCTATATGAAAGATTACAGTGTAGATTATAAACTAGCTACAAGCTCATCCAATATCCCCACCTCACAGGACGGCCAGTCATTCATGGAATCAGGAGAGACCAAGAAATGTAAGGCTGATCTATTAGCCCCCACTGGCAAAATCTGGGTACAGCACAAGAATATCTTCCAATATTCCTGAGTGTATGAAGTAATTACAGAGCTCAAAGTACCTCATACCATTGGTCTGAAGTCACTGATAACAGGGCAATCACAGATATAGTGTTGGAGAGTATGTCCTCTCAAGTAGGACTGAAAACAGTTGTTTTTTCACCAAGAGGGTTATAAACCCATGGAACTGTCTACCCGCTGAAACCGTAAATGCCAAAATTTAGCTAGAAAATATCCTTAGGACAATTGGCGGTACTTAACAAGCCCTTGGCTTTTTGTCCTCGTCGAGGCCACTAGATAGTTAGTGGCCCTTGGGTAAATTTAGGTAAATATATACGTAAATAAATACCATCGCTTCTCAAATTTTGGGAGCGACAAGGACAGCTACACAATATCTCTTAGAATTACGTAGGTAAACAAAAAATGTAACATATTTGTTTGCTATAATGTCGGTGCTAAAGGTAGAAGTTGAAAAACCATAGTTTTACTTCGAAATATACTAAATTTATAAGGAAATTCGACGTAAATAAGTGGCAAGTGATCACGGATAAGCTCCGATATGCCAGCGTCGTGATTGGCTACAGCTGAAAGATGAAAAATGTTACCTTCTCTCTGATTGGCCAAACTAAAAGCCCTAGTGACATCTAGCGAGACCTAAGTGAACTACTTAAATCTCTTTGTAAGTACACTTTTCTGAATCGCACTTTAGCGCGTTCTTAGGAACCTTCATAGCACACATACTTAGGAATACATGGAGCTTCGTGAATCTAGGTCCAGGTGGGCCCCCCCCCCTACACCGAAGGCCTCACTGCTCGGAGCACCGCCTGTTTAATGTTTCCACGACAAACCTGAAGTAGCGGAGGATGAACGTTCTACACACCTTAATCTTTTATAGAATAAAAAAATAAAATCGGACAAATTCACACATATATAACATTATACACATTCACGTATATTACTCATTATAGTAATGCATTTTAACATCTAACGTACAACGAAAGTGGAATGTTCATGAAGGACGGGTTATAAACATCATAATTTTTTGAAACTGAATTTTTTTATATTATTATTTTCTACCACAAACGTGGCCACACATTTACAATGCTAACCAACATTTATACATTTTCTTCTGTCCTCCATGGACAGGGTCAGAGACATGTTAAACATATATTTCAGTGATTTATTGAACAATCAACCACAGACGGTGACTGTAGCGCTTTTAAATTTCTAAGCTAACCTACAAACATAAATACACAGGTTTACGTCTGTCCTACAATAAACAGTGTTCGAGGTGTCTTTTTACATAGTGTCTATGGCGGAGGCTGCTGGAGAACGTCCTCTTGTGAGTCGGTGTTGGCCACCACGTGGAACAGTGGGCGGGCAGCTGGTCTGCTGTTAAACGCCGCTTGCAGCTGGTTGAGGGTTCGTCCCCCTGTCTCCGGCAGGAAGATCCACACCACCACTGCTAAGACCACGTTGAAGAAGGCAAAGATGAGGAGACTTCCTCCGGCTCCCACCACCCTCATCAGCTCCGGGAAGACGAAGCCGACCACGAACAGCGTGAAGGCGAAGAAAAAGGTAGTGATGGAGGCGCCGATGAACCTGACTGGTGTAGGAAGAAACTCTCCAAGAAGGACCCATGGAATGGGCCCCACACCCAACCCATACGCCACTACGAACATCAGAACAGCAGCCAGTGGAACCCATGACGAGCCCGGCATGTCCAACAGCAGAAAGAAACCTCCAAGAGCAACAGAAATAGCGCAGGCAGCTGAGGTGCCAATGAAGAACGGCCGTCGCCCGACTCGATCTAACAACAGTGAAGACACGAAAGTAGCAATGAGGCGTGCGACTCCCACTAAGACGGTGCAGGTGAAAGCATCGAGGTGAAGTCCAGCGTGCTGGAAGAGGTAGACTGTGTAGGAGAACACAGCGTACTGACCCCCCAGCTCTCGGAGGACAAACACAGCCACCAACACCGCCACCGGCTGCAGGTGTTCCATCACTCGCAGCTGCTTTATCTGCCAGAAAATACAAAATATTGGTTAATGACATTTTATATATTAAAATAAAATTTATGACAGTAGGAATAGTAGCAACAGAAATACAAATACAATGACAGTAATGGTGGTATTTTATAGCAATAACGGTAAAAACTTCGCCTCTATAGACATTCTAACAGAAAAAATCACATCGTCCTCAATAGTCCGACGATAATGGACATGCATTACTTGTAATTTTCGACATATAAAACTGGCGCAGTTTGTTACCGAAGTAGTGAGCTGCAAATGTCATTTATTTTGCGGCAGAGTTTATCAAGGACTGAGGGACTAGGTAACGTATCAAAATAATCACTTTATTATATATGGATGAGGCCTTGGACTGTATCCTGTACCTGATCTTTATAAGTGGTCTGGGGATGTTCCTCGATGTTCCTGCGGATGTCAGGAAGCTCATTCTTCTGCATATGTTTTACACGTCCCCGAAGAACTAGCAAGGATACTTCAGCTTCCTGAAGACGGCCTCGTCGCGCCAGCCAGAACGGAGACTGTTGATAACACAAGGGAGAAAGCTTCATGCCTGCAGACTCCAGAATGTCCTGTTGTATGCATCTTCGAACAGTTAGTCATACGCAAATGTAATGAAAACGTACAGTACGTGCACATTCATACTTACATAACAGTCAACATTTACAGTGTTCCCTTATGCTACAAGAGAAGAGAGGTATTGGAATATTCTCCCTCTTACTTCATCACAGTTGTCGGAAAACCCGAGACCATTTACTAATATTCAATACAATAGGCTGATAATATTGCTGCTGGGTTGTATAAATAAATTCACTCATAGAAGACGGCGGTGGAATTTTCCGTCAATAGAAAATGGAATATTATTGCCACGTCGCTATTAATTTCACCAGCTAATTCTGTTGGGAATTATTCTTAATACAACAGTCTTTGGACTGTTATCATAAAAACATCTCACTTGAATTAACTTAATTATTAGTACCAAAACAGTAAATGTGACCTTTCTACCACTGGGGCTAGATTCACGAAAGCACTTACGAACGTGTACATCTTTCCTCAATCTTTGACGGCTTTCGTCACATTTATTAAACAGTTTACAAGCATGAAAACTTCCCATTCAACTGTTGTTATTGTTATGAACAGCCTTCTGGTGCTTCGGAGCTCATTAACTGTTTAATAATTAGAAATAAAGCCGCCAAAGATTGAGAAAAGATGGACAGATTCGTAAGTGTTTGCGTAAGTGCTTTCGTGAATCTGACTTCTGGACAAGAGAGTCAGGACGTCTGTGGGAGGGAGGCCAGTGGTCAGCCATTGTTAATTAGACAACAAGTCGTTGGAGCAGAAGAGCTCCTATAAACTCCCTTGGACGGAGTGTTATGGAGAGTAAATTAGTGCTTCCATTATCAACACGCAGTCATCATCTAAACAAGGGAAGTGTCCAATTCCGAAATCTTATCTAGTCATTCCTGGCCAGTAATGTTAGGTAGATAGGATAATTCTGGTTAGGACACGAGACAGCGACCAATCTGTAGTGTAGTGTAGTGAATGTCTGATAACCAATAATGTATATGGTTGACTACATATGTAAACAATAAACACCCCATAATGTGTATGGAAAACGATTTGTGAGACATTTTAAGAAATACAGTCCACTAAACATCATACAATTAACTATCAAAAATATAAATTAACGTAAAATATAAATTCTTTATTCATTCATATAAATTAAATATAAATCTCACTGGTCAATTCTCCTCAACAGTATATATTTCCTGAAACACATCCGAACTAAACCTCACGAGAAATCTAACATATTTGCCGGACGATTCCACAAAAGCCCCAGAAATCCATATACGTTGTTGTTTTAGATTCAGCTACTGGGAACAAAAAGTTCCAAGTAGCACGGGTTATGGTGAGCCCGTAGTGGACTTACCTAGCACAGGAGTGGGGGGATGTAACTGTAAATCCATATACCAATATCCATATACCCACGTGCCCTCCCCACTACACACAATAATCCACCACTCACCTCTGGGACTGCCAACGTCAAGAGGCAGAGCGGCAGAAGGGGTACAGCAGAAACCGCAGTCGCAAGCTGCCAGGTGAGGCGGTGAGCCTGCACATAGGCCACCAGCAGACCTACAGACACCATGAACTCCGGAAGGCAGCAGAGCAGACCGCGGTAGTCCGGTTCGAGGAGCTCTGCTAAGAGCGGGCAGGTGATGGTGGTGATCACGTTGGCCACGAGCGCCCCTCCCAAGCGACCAACGTATATAACAGGCAAGGAGGGCGTGAAGGCCTGCACTAGCCAGAAGACTGAGGCAGGCATCAGCAGTAGCGTGAGCAGCCGTCGGGGTCCCACTGCCTCCATCAGCGTACCGGCAAACAGGTTTCCAAACATCCCTGCCAAGCCGGTGCTCGATACTGTAATGTGATAGAAGCCAATTGACTTTGTCTTGCAGCACTCGCTGCTTGAATGTAATTCCCTCAGTCACCCTAAATGAGGTAATTACACACACTTGGCACACTATTCATACTTCTCACAATCGTAATATCATCATCCTAGCCACTTAAACGTAACTTCTTAAATAACAGTTTTGCAGTATGTGATATCAGCCTGGTCTTTCATGGCATCAAAACTGATCAGAAACCGCTGCTGTCCGCCACACCAAGCAAGGCACGTAACACCCCTCACCAAGCACGTACCGAGCCACTTGACGTCGTTGTCGGTGAGGTTGAAGGCGGTGGAGTTGTCTGCCTGCAGGTCGGGAAGCACGGCAGGCCACCCGAGCATCAACCCCACCTGCAGCATGGTCGCCGATACCACCGCCCCCACCACCACCTGCACCAACATACACCACACTCTTGTTAACATCCATATTATAAGGGGAGGGAGGGTGTTACTGGTGGGGGGAGAGTCATTGTGTCAGAGAGATGTAACAGAAGTTTGAAGTGTGTTACTGGACGTTGACGGGGTATAACACACACACACTTGCTGTAGGTGTATTGTAAGGTGTGAAGGGGGAGCTGGCAGACCCGTATATAGGACACCACCACACACTGGTGGATAGGTGGATAACACAGAGAGCAGGAATTAGAAACACAAGAAAATAAATAAAAGATAACGATGAACACTTGATTATATAAATGGTAGTGGAGGTGGTGGTACGGTGAAGGTGATACGGTGATGGTGAAATTGAAATTGAAATTGAAATACGGTGATGGTGGTGATACGGTGGTGGTGGTGCTTACCCCAAGTGTCTAGGGAGAGTGAGCTCCAGCTCTTCATGCCCCGCTAACTAGTCCTGTTGCATTGCAATAGGACTAGTTAGCGGGGAACAATTAGTTAACACTAGTTAACAGAACAATTTTGATGTTCAAAGTATTTGTTAAATCGACCCTTAAAGCTGTGGATGGAGGTGGCTTCCGCAACTTCTTTCAGCGTATTCTACTTGTTGACCTCCCGTACAGGCTACGAGTATTTCCTTATATTCCTTCTGCTCATTTGCTTTTCCAGCTTTCACCTGTGTCCTCTTTCTCTGCTCTCTCTCAGAGGGAAGAGGCTATCCTTGTCCACCTTATCTAATTCCCCTCAGCATCTTGTATGTCGTAATCATATCCCCTCTTTGCCTGCGCTTTGCGCCCTGGAGTGATCACTCCAGACCGACAACCATAGCACAACTCCAGTCTCCAGAGACTAGTGGAAGCCTACTACTGCTATTCTCGTAGCTTAACGCTCTTAGCTCTGGCGCCAGTCTTGTTCCAAATCTTTGTACTTTTCAATTGTGGCAGTATGGTGGTGGTGGCGGTTGTATTAGTGGTGGCAGTGTGGTGGGGATGGCGGTGGGTCAGATGACAACAAACTGGCGGATCTGTTCCAGGTGATTCAGTGTCACGCTCACTACGCCAGTCTATTTATGACCTCAGCGTCACGTGCACCTGGCTAGTTACCCCCCCCCCCACTCTCTCGCCCCCCATCTCCCTTCCTCTCCTCACTCCACTGTTTTTGTTGTTTAAGATTCAGCTACTGGGAACAAATCGTTCCAAGTAGCACGGGCTATGGTGAGCTTGTAGTAGACTTATACCTGACACAGGAGCGGGGCTGTAACTGTGTGTGATCCCCCATCCTCACTTCACTCCTTTTCTCACTTATATACCAACCCAGCTACTCAGTCGCTCATACACCCGCCCATTCTCGTACACACCCAAATTACCACCAAGCTCCATCCTATATTCTTGTCGTGAACGTGTCTAAAAGGTCAGCTGATGGATGAATGGCGGGGAGGTGACCCTGACTCACCTGCCTGACGAAGGGGCCCCAACACCAGGCTTCACGTGTGGGGGAGTCACTCATTCTGACTCACTCCAAGGATGTCTCTGGAAAGAGGCGAGTTATACAATCTTTCGTGAAATATATACACAGTATGTAGTAACAAGATTAATACAAATTAACCATTAGAAGATCATAAAAGGGCAAGAGATGCATTGGTTAGGTTGATTGGGCTCACACACACAGACACACGATAGAGCTCTACAAGCCCAGGAACTTGTACACTAGTAGATTGACAGTTGAGAGGCGGGACCACAGAGCTGTAGCTCAACCTCCGTAAGCACAATTAAGCGAGTACACACGCGCGCGCACAGTAAATAGGACAAAAATACATACGTACGTGGACTGACATTTGAGATGAGTAATAAATGCACAAGCTGTCCCTTCCGTCCACTCTCACCTCTCCCATCCAATGACCCGTCTCCCATGCTGTCTCTGCCCAAAAGTGACGGAGAATCAATGTTTAACACTGCAATAGGCCCAACACCCAAGAGTGACGTTGCATCAACGTTACACGTGGATATTGTCCCCACTGGGAGGCGGCTGCCAGCTGGTCTTGAAGCAGCATCCATGCAGGTGGGGCAACAGTAGCTCCCGTCTCGCGTTACGGAGCATCACTCGGGACCGGCACGTGGCAGCCTATAGCATTCCTTGGAAATCTCACAGTGAATAATTAAGAGTTCGACGTAGCGTGTTCTCGACAAGTATATTGTTAATTACCTTTAACTATTTGTAGAATATTTACTAAAAAAAAATATTCTTGTCACGTTTCCCAAAAGAATTATAAAGTATTTTAATAATTCTTATTTATATATTATATAATTATCGCTGCAAGAATCATCTCTCATTGATCATTTATATACCAACTGCATATCAGCGTACCCACTACACACTTATGTAAGGTTGATACTAACCTTACAGGAGAGCGATATATTACCAGCAATACTTGCAGAGGAGCACAAGGAAGCAAGCGGTGTTCTCCTCCCGGTGTCTGACCACATACTGGAGTCATCACATCACGCGCTGGACACAGGATATTTATTATTGTACGATAATTACCTTTTTACGTGAATAGTTGCCACTTACGATGACTCTTGCTACATGCAACCATGTTTATGGAAAAATGAATATTGTAAATAGTAGGATATACCTCCGGCGCCGCTGAACTGCCGAGTATAATTACTGTACAAAACTGACCAAGCTTGGTGGGGGTGTAAAGCTGGGAAGTATTGTTTACAGCACCATCTGTCTTATAATAGTTTCCGTTGTCCTGGGACAAGTTCAAGGACATCTATTGCAGTGGTAGAAGGAAGGCCAAGGGAAGTAATTTATTTTAAGAGCACAGTTTATAACCTGCAATGCCAGCCAATGGTTGCCGACATATACTGGCTACAAATCCAAATAAGGAATACCTTTCCAGAAAATGTTGAAAGCACGACTGGCCTCCTTAGCGGAGGTGTCCACAAGTTAATTCGAGGTAGCTCCAATATGACTGGGAACCCCAATAAAATTCGACTTATCTGCCAGAGGAAAGTAACGGCCAATATTTTATTTCAATTACCAGAGGATGCAAGGAATTAAAGACTCCCGAGCCATCAGGGCACTGCAAATAAGCAATTATCAAAAGAAGGTACCAAACCGGGAAGGCTATGTAGCACCACCAAATGTGTGGAGTAATCAGAGGGCGCTAAATGTCACCAAGGATGCCAATACAAGAACAGAAACGCATAAGGCGAACGATATCAAAAAGTATCCGATTCACCAAGAATTCTATCAAAGGACAATTGACCGCGAGGGACGGTCGGAAGGCAAGACATGTTCGTCCTAGAAGTCAGGACATTCAACAAGAATGTGCACGACCTTAAGAGGAACAATGCAATTTGGACAATTAGGAGCAGGGTGGTGCTCCATTAAGTGACCGTGAGTTAAATATGTATGGCCAATACGTAACTTAGCCAGAGCCGTTTCCCACCGCCGGTTACAGTGGTAGGAGGAAGGCCACAGGGACACACGACTTTAGAGTATACAGTTTGTTACCAGTAACAAGACTAACAACCCTGCCAATGGGTAAGGATGGAGGAATGAATAACTGGGTAAAAGTCGGAATAAGGAATACCTTTATGAGAGATGGGACAAGTGCGGATAGCTTCCTTAACGGCAGCATCTGCACGCTCATTTAAAGACACCAACATGGCTGGGAACCCAGCAAAACTCTACAAACTTAAATTTACTGGAGATAAATGGCCAATGTTGAATCTCTATGACCACCGGGTGGACCGGATTAAAGGACCCCAAAGCCATGAGAGCACTACGAGAGTCAACTACCACCACAAAGGAGGATTGACAACGAGAAAGCAGGAGGCGAAGAGCATAGAGAATAGCATAAAGTTCTGCTGTGAAGATGCTAGCCTCCAGAGGAAGGCAACACATTTAAGTGTGGTCAGGGAAAAACAACAGAGCAGCCCACACCGTCAGCAGACTTGGATCCATCGGTGAAGATGGAAATGGAGTGGGAGTGTGAAGAAAAATGCTCAAGGAAAAGGCGTTTCAGAACTGTAGGAGGGGTAAAAGCTTCAGTGATGCGGGTCAGGGAAGTACAGAATTTGGGAAGGGGGACCCTCCACGGGGGCAAGGACAGAACAAGAGAAACATTAGCAATACGAACCGAAAGAATCTAGCAAGCGAGAAACGGACAAACGGGAAGGTGGTGAAGAGGAACAGGAACTACAGGAGGGGTAAAAGTCACCAAGTTAACCACAATAACATCGATGCAAAGAAAGCATCTAACAGAGCATACAAACTGCATAAATTTCTGCCATCAAAATGCTGGTCTAGGGAATGATGCCACATAGGAATGATGGGTACGAGGATGAGGAAATTGTCACTGTCATTGAGGACTCTTTAGGTAGAAAAGAATATCAATGCAGGAAAATGTGAAATGCGCAAACCTTTACTAGTTGGCTCAAGAATTCAGACAAGATGGAGAACAGAAAGATAGATCCTAAAAACTACCTTTGGTATATATTTTTAAGTGCATTGCCTAAGAGGGCATTCCAGCAGTTTAAAATTGCCCTATAGGAGTACAGCTCCTGGTAGAATAGTAAATTTCAAAAAGCTGGCTTTGCAATCCAGCCCAAATATAACTTCCCACCAAGAGCAGCCTCTCATTGGCAACCCATCTGGCAAGTGGTCCATTGACCATAACATGTACCCTTAGCTTATGTACCAAGAAACCTTATTAACTCAAGGGAGCAGAAGCAGTCCAACGGCAGCTCAAGGGTCTCGAGCCATTACCCTCGACAAGGTGGAATCCACCGGAGAATACTACTGCGACAGTATCAGTCATTGGGGTTTAAGAGCATTCAACCATTTAAGGTAGGATATTTATACAATATTTTGTACAAACGTTTTTAGGTGAAAATAAATTTTACACAAAAAATATTATTGAAAGTTTTATACAACTAATGATGCATTACATCAAAACATTTGATCTTTCACTAACTATTGTATTCAGACCACAAAAACATAACCCAACACCAACTTGTGATAAAACATCGAGGAGATTCAGATTTCCATGCAAGAAATCATACAAGTACCCGAAAATGAAGCATCACATGTTAAAGACTACAGCATATCAGCACCAATGTAAAGCCTTTGAATTTAGACAATTATGCATGATTAGCAAAGTCTTGCTGTACTATCAAAACCTTCAGTGAGCTAACCTTCAGTCTGGCACAGTTGAGCCTGCAGCTTAGGAATGCACCGTATTCAAATTTTTTGAGGGCGAGCATAAAGTGACAGCATCATCAATGCATAGTCCAAACCTTGTTGCACACCACTTTCAAGACAATGTTTCATTATGTTAGCACATGCCAGCAATTTTGCTTTTTGAAAATTCCAAACCACATGATCTTACCTTTGAAAGTATAACCAGCACATGTTTACTCCACTTTCAGAATGTACTTTAATGCATTTTTGTATGAAAGCTATAATATTGAAATCTTATGAAAGTTTTAAATGTATGCCTTATAAACATGTGATGCTTCCTTAGGTTTTAAGTAATCTGGAAAAAAAAAAAAAAAAAAAAAAAAAAAAAAAAAGGTATTCACAGCTACAAAGTTCATACAAGCATTCAAAATATATAGCAAATTTTAGAAGATGTACAAAATCTTAACTTTCAGCTTCTGTGCTTTACAAAATTTATCCATTACAAAATCCAAACGTCAATGCTATACAACATCCCACAAAATACAATTATTTAGTTGACCAGATCTTTCACAAATTCATTACACAAACCTCAAAAACCGACTACTATTCTAACATTTGTAGATGTTCCAATACTGAACTAGACAGAGCATACTGGCCCTAACTAAACATTTCTAAGATAAAAACCCTTCTGTACAAAATCTTGTGCATATAACAAATGCAGAGGTATTAAAACTGTGCAATATCTAAAACTGACAATACAATGACAAGTATCTAGGGAAATTTTATACACAATTGCCTTAAAATTAAACCCTAAAAGAACTAAAGGTAATTTTACAACTTTCTCTAGTTACTATTAAGCAGATATGCCCAGTGCTATGGAATCTGAAGCATTGAGCAAACGTATCACAGAAAAGGATTTTCAAACTAAGGATATTTTAGGTAGAGGGAAAAAAAAATAGTTTGTACTGACAAGCATGTCGTTAATAAGCAACAAACTTGCGAAATGTAATTGTTCATGAAGATTTCTGAAAATTTAATCAAAATGCACACCGAACTATACAATAGTTTACATTAAACAAACTTCTTCGCCCAGGTTTTACAATTTGCAAAAATTTAGAATCTGCATGCTAGTTCAAACCCAAAATCTACTCTTTGTTTTAAACTACACCAGCATTGGAATTGATATCGGATACACAATTCATTATGTACCTGTACTTCAGTATAGTAAATAGAGGGTCACGAGTCAATGTTAGTACACATCGTGTGTCCAATTTGTCCTTTGAAAATCTTAATTTGAAATTTTGTATGCTACAATTAATTCTTAACAGGATGTATCTTATACCTGGAATATCAAAGACCATTATGAATGCTGCACTTCCCATAAAGGAAATGTACTTTATTTGTTTAGAGTTAGGAATACAGTACCAGTCTGAAATTGAACTGAAGTGGGTAAAGGGTTTTCAAATTACTATATACCATTATGTAAGGGTTGGCAAATTGGGGAAGCAAAGGGAAAGGGGGTGTTGCCAGGTTAACGTTACTTGTCACCATACTAAAGTAACCAATATCTACAATGTTTAATAAAATATTTAGCTTTGCTAATAATTAATAAATTAAAATTCTAGACGTTACCAGTCCAAAATCACCATGCCAAAGTGGTCTCGAACCACAGGTTACCAACAACAAATTTAACCTTAATATTTGTACTCTTGTGAACCTCTCCTTTTTGTAATAAAAATTTCAAATGGCAATATATGCACATTTTCTGCTACCGGACGACCCATTGTCAATGAATTTAGATGCCACCTCTCTAAGTAATCAAAGAAACACTAAACCCAGAAGGCTATGTAGTGTTCTCTTTAATAAAATACTCAAGAGCTTCTAAATGATATTCAGGATGTCACTACAGCAGCAGAAAGACAGGACTAGTGATGTCAAAGGAGGTAGATTCAACAGTTTTTTTCCACGGGAGAACCATCTTTTCAAGGAACCCTACGACCTAAAGATGCTTAGCCGTCATTGTGTACCTAGGAACAATAACTCGTCAGCCATAACTTCAGCCAGTACTCTACCAACACCTGTAATGCTATGAAGCCTTTCCTGGATCAAAACCATTTACATTATTGGGTCAATACACCAAAACTCCAAATTAACTTAATGAATTCAGTAAAACAGTGACTGAAGACTTAACTTTATGCAATTTGCCACAACAGCCAGTCCTCCTTAAAGCAGTGTGTGTGTGTGTGTGTGTGGGGGGGGAGGGGGAATACAATTTCATGAAAATTAGATAAATATGGGTCATACTTTCAATATCGGCATTATTACAAAGTGGTTTTCCTGGTTATTACATGTAGATAATGTAGTAGAGACTACTGAAAATTGGAAGAATGGCAGTACCAAGATGCAAAAACAAGGATTATTTTAGTACCAGCAAATCAAAACCAAGATCTAGTTGAATAATTTCTTAAAACCGAATGATAAAATGACAATTTTTTATGTTACACGATTAGTTTAATCCCAAAGAGTACATGATTGTATAAACATGGCAGCATTATGGATGACAATGAACAGTTTCACAGAAGCAAATAACCATCGGACTAAATTTTACAATTATTGTACAGTGTAACATATGCAAAACTTCCTCTGAACAATCCGGTTCCTGCCCATCCCAAATGCTTTTAATTTAATCTATGTTAAGAACATCTGTTGACTAGTTCACGCTTCATTTGGCTATGCTCAAGTTAAGAATCAAGACTTTTCAGTACTCTTAGCTCAGCCTGTAAAAAGCTTACTATTTAATACGGCAAAAATTTATTATGATCTAAATAGACACATTGCCGATAACTGCCATTATTGCGACTACACTCAACGAGTAATTTGGAAAACTAATGTATAATTTGGTCATTTCTGTGGTACTTTTTGACAGCCAGCCTCCAAACCCAGTGTAATAAATTTATATTCTTGGCATGTTCTTTTTTGCCAAAATTTAGTACTGTAGTCCAATAAGATTTGGAAATTTTTAAAATGAATATCACAAATGCCAACTTTTCTAAAAAGCTGTCCAAAACATTCAATACATATAGCTTTATGCCAGCACACTAAACCATGGAAGAAAAAATGCAAAATAGGAGTAAATAAAGTTTACTTTTACTACTAAGGATTTTAATGCTTATGCTGCAATATTACCCGACAGTGAAAATTTTAAACTTTCAAGACCCATTTCATGAGCATAAAACATTTTTTCCTTTTTGCCCATCAAAGGCATCATTGCCCCATAATGGCTGACCAGAACTGCAACCACTAATGGAACAAGACGAAATACTCGATTTTTCGGGTTGACTGGCAGAGAATGGATTTCTTGCACATGTGAATGGGTCCTCCAAAATGTGCTTCAATGAAAATGGATTTTTAACACTGCCTGATGGGCTAAATGGATTTTTAATTGTTCCACAATGGACAGATTTTTCTACCATCTTTGATGAAAAACTATTCTCTGATGTAGAAGGAACAATTGGGTCTTTGCCTACCTTACATGGAATAAATGGGTCTTTTGCCACCTCGTATGGCACAAGTGTATTTTTTACACTTGAATTTGCGAACATTAATTGTGAAGGAGGAGACTGGCACGAGTGCAGGAAGGCCATGTTTGGTGATCCAGAGAAGTCTTCCCAAACATCTGGTGGAGATTGACCCAGTAACCATGGATCTGTTGGAGAGCTGGCTGTAGAGCTAGAAGGGGGAGAACTAGCTAACTGCCAGAAGCCACTCCCTGTCGGAGAAGCTGGTGGGAGATCCGTTAATACTGTAAGATCGAGGTCTACCCATCTCTCCGGGGATATCCCAGGCAGACGATTCTGGTCCTCCCGTCTCAAAGCCAACCTGTTAAAACAATGCATACTTAAAGCATGTACAGTAAGGAAATTCTTATAATAAAACTAGCTCATCAAAGTACTGTAATGTACAATACATAGAAACCAGTTTAGCATGCAAGATGTCTGATAAATTCTAGAACCTTATAGTCATCAATTCAAACTTATGCATTTGATAAAGGAAAACTACAAAATTTACACTTTTGCCATTACATTAAACTGAAGAATTAGCTTACCTTTCAAACCCATCATTAATCTCATCGAAGTCACCAAAGGCATCCTGTTAAGCCACAAACAATAAGTTATTCTATAGTTATTTAAAACTTATAGGATTAGGGGGCCTTTTCTCCCCCTCCTCCCTGTTACAATTCACTACTATTGAGGTCAACATCTACTTTAAAGAATTTGCCTTGCCCACACACAAGTGTTAATTGGAGATCATAATTAAGATTAACAGAACACTAAGCCATAAACAAGCAGTTTGAAATAGACAATACCAAAAGAATGCAACATCCAGGAAAACTAAAGAGGCCTCTGGAGTAATTTGGTACTGGTTAGCCTCGACGGTAACTTGTGAATCTAGTCAGAGGTCTAACACTGCACAGAAAAAGAAATGTATAAGAAGCATGCACAACCACTATGCCACAAGGCTTCATATCAAAATTTCAAATCAACCAGTTGTCTGCATGGGTCCTGTAGTACAGTGTTCTACATTCTACTCTACTGGGACTTCCTATTTAGATCCCCCCCTCTTCCCCAGGCAGGACATTTATTTGTACCCGAGAGTTTGGCAATTGTGGATTACATACAATAAAAGGTCAATAGTTTGACAGTAAATAGGGGTGAGGCAGATTACAACATAGGATTAAGTACACTACAGGCTTCCTGTCCCAAGAACATGAATATTAATGTGAATGTTAAGTAGTCCTTTTCATAATGCAAAAAGAATGTGTGCCAGTGTAATTTTAAATTTAATCTATTTAAGAATTTTAATTAAGCCCCATTTAATTTTCTACCAATAATCCTGTTTACAAATATATTTCATGGTATTTTTCCAAGCAGAAATGCTGGAAGATCATCTACACAAGCCCCTAAATTATTTAAAGGCTCTATAGTTCCCTTGCATTTATAAAACTACAATTCATGTCTTACTTTTCACCCCACTGCATATTTCAAAAGTATTTCAACTTTTGAATTTTATGCCAGAAACCAATTATTTAGTTTCTCTTGACATCTATGTGGTATACCCACTTCATAACATCTATTGGAGAAAATTCTTCATACAACCAAGAAATATTAAAACAGTATGTATGTAAGAGCTAATAAAAATACCAAGCCAGGACAGACTACTGGCTAACACTAAGTAAAAGAACAAACCGCTGTAGATTTGGACAAACTTAAGTGGGTAGCAAAATTTTTACAAAGTGGATTTGAAAAATGCCTTCCGTTATTTTAATAGCACTGTCAGGATAAGCAATAAGTACATACATGGATTGAGCCCCGTCCCCATGAGCCGATAAGTCAATTAAAAGTAAACCGAATAGGGCCAAAACCTAATTTGAAAGCATTAAACTTAAATTGCAAATCTTAAGTTCTGATATTTGATAACTTTTCAACTACTATAAAAGTAGATAGACAACTTATGATTGCGTTGAAGTTAAATATTAATGGTAAAGTGCTGAAAATAGCACGTCAATGCACAAAGTACCCGGTACAGGATATGAAAATAGCAATTTGTATGACGAGATGAAATTAAAGCCCTAGTGGATGGTGCAGCGAGAGCCCTGAAGAGAAAATACTGTAGGAATACATGCAGCCCAAGGACTACAGCGAGTGGCAGTAACTTTTGTAAAGAATTATGGGGCAAGAGTTAAAAACTTAACGGAAACTGTTAAAGCGGCACATTTAGCAGAAAGGAGCAATTTATGTCATGGAAAAATGTGGGATGTAAAATTCAAGCTTTGAGTACCACAGTTTTGCATTACTGAATGAAGGATAATAGGCTAGTAATTAACACTTAAAATGAGAAACCAAGGGCAGGCAAACATTGTTCAATGTGTAGTTTATAAACGATGCAATAATTTATCTAGTTATCAAGAAATGTTAAGCCATTGTGGCTATACAGCATAATGGAGGGTGAAGGGGGCAGCTTTAATTAGTCATTTGTAACGAGTTACTGTATTAAGACTATTGTAACCGATAGACCATTTATGAAAAGATCCGTCTCATTCACAACTTTAATTCTACCATTTGAAGAAACGACTGCAATCTACTTTCCAGCCTGCACTGCACATCTTCCGTGAACTAACTTAAAACCACTTGATACCTTGGCTACACCCATTTATGTATGAAACCCACACTTCACCTGGAGACTTTTGCTTGTGTTTTTCTTTTGATTTTGATTTGCCTGGTGGGGGTCTGCCTTGTGTGGTGGTAGGACCACTAAGGATTTTGGTGGGCCTCTACTAGGTCCCCGTGCTTTCACACGTCGCAGGGGTTCAGCTTTTAGTTTCTTTGCTTGGTAGCTCTGGGATAACTGGTTAGCAGTTCCTCACCTGGGCTTCCCTTAGCAATAAGCCTAAGGGCCCATGGAAACCCTCATTGGGGCTCAGTGGTCTGATGGAGGAGACCTCCAAGTCCCACCTCGTCTTGTGCGAGTTTGAAGGTTGCTCTGTCCCCTTGTCTCAGGGTGACACTCACCAGCTGTCTCCGACATGCTACTTGTTGGGTCAGTAACATCTTTGATTTGGAGTCCTGCAAGTGGTTTTCTTTGCTTGTATTCCATTCGCCCAGTCCACCGAGACATATTCGGATGCAGCAGCTTTAACGTTGCATGCGATGTTAAGGTTGCAGCAACGTGGGAGGTTGGTTGCCTTTCCGGATGCCCAGCAGCTGCCCCGCTTGGATTATACTGGTAGACACACTGGCAGCTTCGGGGATTGCTTCTTACGGATCTGCGGCGGAGGCATTCGAGCCCGTTCTTCCTGCCGGAGCTTTTGGGTTGTGCCAGTGGTCCCCTTCATCCCTGCTTTTCTGGTGGAAGCTGCCTTTTCTTTAGAGAAAGAGGGTTTGGAGGACAGCTTGGCCCTGGGTCCTGACGTGGGGGATTACAGGGCTGAGGAGTCTACATGGAAAGGGGGGGGGGGGTTGTTTGGGGCCCCAATTGACCCTGCTTGGGTGTTGGTAACCTCGGCACAGGGTTGCTTGTTACAGTTACAGGTAAAATAGGTACCCGAGTGTTAGTCAGCCGTCACTGGCTGCTTCCTGGGGGTGGAGGCCTGGTCGAGGACCGGGCCGCGGGGACACTAAAGCCCCGAAATCATCAAGATAACACCCTCCCTGTACAATTTTGTTAAGAGTTCGACTCTTCCCCTGGTTCTGTTCAAAGTTCCCTTGGGTCCTTCAGTTCCCCCCCTCCTGGATGTTTTTGACTTCCCACATCCCACCGAGGAAGGTGTGGGAGTACCATGCTGTTTATCTACTACGAAACCCAAATTACGCATCGATAATGAAGCGTTTCAAGTTTGGCTCCTCTTATTGAGTGCGTTACGAGGTGCCGGAGTCTACCTGGCTGGCAGACTGCCTTTTCTTTTTGTTGGGGACTTGGCATTCCTTCTGTCGGACCGTGCACTTCAAAGGCGGGAGTTGACTGGTCGTTCAGGTTTACCTGGGGGGGGGGGGCCCTACCTCTATGCACGCTTGTTTGCCCCTGTTCTTCCTAATGATGTTGGCCAAGTATATATATATATATATATATGCCATGCACAGCTTAAGGGTTAGAAGTTAAAAGGTTTGTTGAACTGGACTTGGGGGTTGGATAATAAATGGGAGTATGATAATTCAGTAAGATCAACAAAGCAAGCAGCAGTAAAAAAAGTTTAAAAAGGCAAATGGTGGCAAAGTACTGAATGATCAACTTTGATCTATCATCTTTGTGATATTTTAATTATGGGAAATTTTAAAGAAAGTATATCAAAGTTGAACAATTCGAAAACAGGCAATTTAAAAAGCACTAGCTAGTAGTATCCACTACTATCAATCTACTTGCCTTCTACAGTACTTGGTCCCTGCAATTCCTTTTATGAAAGGAAATGTCTAATTAGTAACTTTCCTAACATTTGAACCTTTGTAATTAAATTTTTACAGAACCTTTGTAATTAAATTTTTCATACTTAGCATGAACCCCAAGACAAATGCACAAAGTGCATTTTGCCATCTTAAGATGAGGAAATGATTAAAATTATGCACAGTTAAGCACTGTAGTCTTTCTATACAGTTAGAAACTGTATAGATTAGTTGCCAAACTGACCAAGGACCTGCATCAAGACTTTAGAAATGTTTAGTGAAGTTTTACATTCAATTTTCTCCTACAGTATTCAACTATTTCCCTTACTGTTAATATGGTAGTAAATTAGATACAAGTACAGTGCAACAAACTAGGTACTGTATGAACAATTACCTTGGCTAATATTTTCATTAATAATTACAATTATGAAAATTCTAATATTACCTTTCATGTTTCCCAGCTATCTTAGTGCAAAGTATAAAACACCCTTACTATCCCCATTTACTGTACTAGAAGTACACCCACCCAAGGTTTACTGAGAACTGTGCCACTGCTGTTGCTCTCCACCTGGTTATCTTTGGAAGTTTCTGTAGATGCCAGCTGCTCAGAAAAACCCTCCAGATCAATCAGCAGTGCTTGTGTACTAGACTGGTAACCTGCCAAAAAAAATTAGTTCATTCATCTTATCAAAGTTACTGGTTATACCACTAGGTTACCTTTACTCAAGGTTTGGCTTGTGGCTTTTGCATGTACTGTTCTGATCTCAAATGCTTAACGTGATCATTACATAATTTTATGTATACACAACATGTATATGCAACATATCTGAGGCGCAATAATAGGGGGCATAAATTTGCAAACACACATCAATCATTACAACAGAAGCATAGCAAATTGCAGAAATGACGTGTTGACATCTGATCTGTTACGAACCCCATTTACATTAAAGCAAGGCCTAGGCACTAATAAGAATTGGCAAATACATTTTAAGGGTCAGATTTTTTTCACTCAAATGGAAAAGTTGAAGGTAGGCACAATTGGGATTCAGGAGCATTCAAGCCAAGAAGCTAATCATTTAATAATTTTGAGGGACAAGAAGCTTTTACACATGCCCAAAGAGTGCACATATACCAGCCTAAGTACATACAAATGCAGCATGTACTATTAGTATAATGAAGGACAATTGCAAACGTAACAATTTTGAAAAATATTTTTAGTACTGTACATACCATTACAACATTGCAATTTGTTTAAGAGTTAAACAATTATTCTCTGGCCATCTACAAGCTGGAGTCTTGAGAGAGCTGGACAAAGCTAGTAATTATCACAGAAAATGGGGGGGGGAACCTTCAAGCAGCTGTTTTCTTGTCCTCACCAAGGCCACTAAACTCACTCTGGTAAACTTTTTTTTTTTTTTGGTGCCTACACAAAAATCCATTATCTATTACATACCATATTAGAATTTGTAGGCTAGAATGTATTTTACCTTTAACATTAGTCAACATTCACAGTACCAAATGCCCAATGTTTAAAAACCCTACATTTCAATTTTACACAAGGTCTATGTACTGTACATTTAAATACTGTATATAGTAGAATGTACAGAGTTGTGCAAACGAAGTGGCAAATGGTGCCTTCTTGCCAAGCCAGAAAAACATGCAGCAGTTCCAGCTATTCTTACAGCAAAGAAAATTTGCAGCAAATCAAGGTAATAGGCGAATCCCAATCCAAAATATGAACATTGCTACTTCAAGAAATTACACGTTACCTGAAGTACTCATATCCGACGATCCAAAATCAGAGCGAATGGGAATTGGGGAAGATGTCTGGCTGGATGGCTGCGAGTGGACATTCAAACCACCATTTTGAATCGATGCAGAACCAACCTGTGTGGTAAGCTTCATTTTTCAGCCCTAAACTATGATTTATAAATTAACAGGCATTTCATTCTTTCCATTCAGAAATACTAGACATTCCCATACAATTAATGTAATTTTTATTACTACACTATTTAAAGTTAGCATCAGTGTATACACTTTATATTGGTACATTCTAGTCTATGAAACCTCACGAGGTAAAAACATTTGTTATTCAATACATAATTTTACCAGGTCTTCCCCACATAGTTCAGATACTTTGTCCTTACACAATTAAAATGTTATAATTAAGGCACGAGAGATTCACAGGCATTTTGGAAAAATGTATGATTATTTGGCACGCCTTCCTTATGACTAAAAATACCAACCTTCACTTCAGCAGGCAATTCCTCATGTGCATATACATCTCCATTTTCTCTGTTTTCCACAGCCATTTTCCAATACTCGTATGCTAAGTTAAATGCTTGTGCAATTGAGACCGTTACTGCTTGAGCCTGAAAGGATCATTTTTATTAGCACGTGTAACACATTAAGGTAAATTCACATCTTTAAACCATTTGTACAAGACTAAACATTTAAGGAGCAATAAAAAAATTAAAAACCTGAAATATTAACTTCCTGAAGCTCGCATACACAAATTATGAACTTTGTTAAATTGTCAGGTTGTGACATGACAAACCCACTACAAACTAAGCATTAGTCGGCAATAAAAAAAAAATTGCCACTTAAACTTTGTGAAAGTTTTAACCTTCAGTATATTCACTGAAGCAATAAGTCCTAACCCTTAAACAAGACTACCCTTCTGTGTTCAGTTGATAGGGAATGAAAGAACTAACCATTTCTCTAGTCATGCCATTTCTATAAAAAAAAAAAAACAATCTTATGAAATGTGGGGTTCCTCCCCTTATTTGATTTTAGTCACACTGACACTACTTACTATCTTTCTTTTGGAGCAGAGAAAAGCATGACACTCGCAAGTATCATTGTCATTTGTGGCGATGAAAGCAAACACGTGGTCATAGTGAGCATCTGCAGAACAGTACGAGATCCTGAAAACATTGCCAACGAATGATTAGCTGGCCCAGTAGTGATCAATTAGAGTTTTTAATACAAGTACATGGTTACAATCCAATAAGACTACTGTACAGAAATAAGTAGGGGATGTGGTAAATACATGTCAAGAAAGGCAAATAGGAGGATTTTGTACACAAGAAATTCCCAATGTTTGGTACAAGAAACTAGAAACAGAGGGGAGGGGGGGGGGGGGGGAAAGGTCCTTGATAACTAGGATGCAACCCACCATTGCCTATCCTCCAGGTAACTGCCACATGGCATAGTGTTAAGACGCTCACCTGGCGTTTCGCGCGTGCTTTGGCCTGGGTTCGTATCCTGGCCAAGGAGGATTTACTGGGCGTCAATCCTTTACTAGTCTGTTTACCCAACAGTAGCCAGGGAATGCTAGGATTAAGGACTTGCCCAAAACACTGTGCACTGGTGGCTGAACAGTAAGAACTTAGATTTAAAAAAAATAAAATTATGTATAACCAAGCTAATTAGACTCAAATTACAGACTTTTCATGCCTGTACCCCCTCTTGGGTGGCTTAATCTTCAACCAATCGGCAGACTCAAAGAAGTTATATCAATGAGTCAAACTTATGGATGGGCAAGAGACCTAGCACTAATATTTGTATAGTTGCAATTATAAAAACCAGCATATATTAACTTTTGGAGATTACACTTTAGTACAGAGTTTTTAGGTCTTTGAAAGTCTAGGAAAAGGCGATAAGAGTCCCCTCTTCTAATGAAGTTCTAGGGGTAGGAGAGCGAGGAGCCAATGCACTCTTGGGAAGAATCTGGAAGGTAAGCAATTCCCATTCTTATGGCTCGTTTCATTTGCCCGTCTTTAAGGGGCCCCAATACTTTTTTAGTTTTTCGATTTCAAACTTTACAAGTTGTATATAAAAGGGTTTCATCTGGTCCAAGTTTCAGCATTGTAGCATAAATAGGAAGTAGTAATTATCAATAGAAGGCACCAAACCGGGAAGGCTATGTAGTACGCATAAATAGAAAGAATGATTTAGGTGTCAAATTTTCCAAAATGGTCAAAAACTATTGTTTGGAGGTTATCGAGATGATTTCGGGGCTTTAGTGTCCCCGCGGCCCGGTCCTCGACTAGGCCTCCACCCCCGGAAGCAGCCCGGGACAGTTTACTAACTTCCAGATACCTATTTATTGCTAGGTAACAGGGGCATCAGGGTGAAAAACTCTGCCCATTGTTTCTTGCCGGCACCCGGGATCACAAGATCACGCGTCCAGTGTTCTGTCCGCTCAGCCACCAGCTCCAAATGTCATAAGGAATATGTATTATCAAATAAGTGTCAACTGAAATCATGTCTGACTGCTATTACAATGGCATATTAAAAAAATTAGTTTTATTAAAAAAAATTTAAGATTTTTTTTTTTCAATTTTTAATTGTTAATCTGATGATTTGCATGAAGCTTTTACACCTGACGGCACATAAGCCTATCTGTAAAGGTGCCAAGGGGGCCAGGAAATTTATGTCAACTTCAGCCACATATGGCAGCTCCTTGGACTTCCTTTACCTATTTATTTCAAGTAACAAACGTTTATATAACCCATTTTTTTTATTCAATTTACATGAAACTTACACCTTATATGTAGTGTATATCTAAAATCTTTAGTCAGCATTTTTTCCTAAGTTTATTTATTGATTTTATAATAGCAATAAACATGTTACTTTTTTGGGGGGGGGGGGGGGGGGGGGGGGGGGGGGGGGGGGGGGGGGGGGGGGGGGGGGACTGACTATTTGTATTAGGAAAACATGTTTTGGAAAATCCCCAACTACAGATCCTTTATTATATGCTTAAGTGTCAGATTGTTTATATCCAACTTGTGGTTGTATATACACATGAAAACGTGTAATATTCGTTGAAAAAATATATTAAATCTATTTAGGCTGCAGTTCTGAAACTGAACAATTGCAGGCCTTTTCATATACAACGTCCAAAAAACGACATTGGTCGACATTGAAAAACGTTTAGTAACCTAATCTAACTATACATTTAATCCGTTTAACACCAGTACCATCCCCCCCTACCATGTGGGTTTGGTGCATGTGCCGCCACGCTTCATTGCTCAGTCTTCACCCCAATACCATCGCATGAAGCTGCGCTTCTTATTTATCCAGCTGCGCCTCATTTATCCAGCTGCCCTTAATTTGCACTTTCCTCCCTAACTTGCAGCAGTAACCCCTCATCATTCTTCCTCCCAGTTTTTAAGGCACAAATCACACCACCGAAGACGTTGCCTACAATATCCCAAGCAAGAAAATAGCTGCGGCTATAAACAGATGTGATTTATGAGGAGCAGCAAAGCTGGTTACTCCGGGGCGCTGTGGGTGCATGTGCACCCGCCAGCAGGGTGCGCGTGCCACCCTAACCTACACCACTTTAAGGGGAGTAAAGCCGATGGATAGGTACAGCTGAAGAAAACCTTTGCCGAATAAAGCGAGCGAGTGCGTGAATTTGATACGTCTGGTTCCTCTATAGTAAATATTTCATTCAAAATGATCCGCTACCAGAAATTTTAGCCAAATATCCCCAGTTTGCCAACTGTAGGTAGTAACTAAGTGACTAACCTATCCACTGCTGCCCACTGGATGAGGGGGGGGGGGCCGGTGTGCAGGACAAACATATCAATTGTGACACTAGCTCTACACGCGTCAGTTGCTTAAATTAGAAACTATTTGTGGTCTATCTCTAACCTATTGATGTGATGACTTATACTAAATTTTGTAACTAGCTCAAGATTTTAACTTAGCTAATTTGTGGTTCAGTCCCCGAGCCCATTAGTGCCTCTAACCCCTTCCACTACTGCCCACTAGATGGGTATGGGGTGCATAAATGAACTAAACAGTTGACGGGGAGCATTTAATTAGGTTATTGCATGCCATTCTCACCTCGTATGCATGTACTTCACCTGAATAATCATTTGATGTGCGATTTGGCATTGTTAAATGCTTACGTAAATATTTGGCAATGAATGTTTGGTTACTTTCATGAGCGTTCTGGTTTGCAATTAATATAGGTTACATATTGTGAGGCTCTATATCTGCACTTTGACCAGCTGTGGTTATTCTTATCTTTCTATCACTGGCCAAGATATTGTTGGTTGTGCGTTGTAGTTTGATTTACTGTGGTTTAATGTTAAACGGTTCATCGAGCAGATTTTTCCAATATGGAATAGGATGGTGCCGGTTTAAAGAAGATTGTGATAGAAGTCAGAATAAAGTGTGGAATTAAAAATTGGCGGCTGGCGCATTATACAAATGTTGATAGTCACCTGGTGCTGCTTTACGAGGGTACCAGAAAGGTCACTCACTTGTATATGGAAGTGTAGAGGAGGACCTCGTTGGTAGATGTGTCAGCCATGCGGATGCCCTCGAGGGAGACGTGGAGGCCGACCCTCTCAGGTTTCCGTGACACCTGCTTGGCCGCGTGGATGATGCGCTTAATCGCCTCAGCCGTGGACGCCTCGCCTTTAGGATCGTCGACCAGTGTGGAACCCAGGTACTTGCAGTAGAAGGTCACACCCTCCACCACGGGCTCCCGGATCGTCGCCCACTCTTCTGACAACTCTGCCGAGACAGCACATTTATGAACTAACGAATGCTACCACCACGAACAGATCCAAACTATCATTGTGTACATTGATGCATAGATTGCATGTAATCGAGGTTAGTCGTGTTAGTGTTTTCGTCGGCTGTAGGCGAGGATAGATCCTTCCTCTTATTTTTATGGTATTATAAATAAACTAAACTAATTTTAAGTTTTCCGTTTATAAATTAGGAATGCAAGAACAGTTTTGCCAGTTTTATGCAGTCTGATTAATGGCTAGAAATTGTGTACAAAGACGTTCCATTGTGTTCCCCCCACCCCCTTCCTCCCCACCATGTTAACATAAGAGTGCAAATAAGCCAGATGGTAAATGTAGATCTAAGGAAATATATGCGCTTTTTAGCATTGTAAATGTGGCCACGTCTGTGGTAGAAAAAATAATTCACAATCCTACTTCATTCAGTTCATTGTAATTGCAGTTTTAAGTTAAATAACTAAGTAATCCCTTTCCATAACATTTGCGCAGTCTTACTATGTGGCCCCCGGCTAGGTTACAAGGATTAAAGAACTATCCCAATATGCTGTAGTAGTCTACATTCCACAGACAGGAGAGGACTACCACCATTTGTGAATCTGCTGATCTGGAAACCATTTGTATAGATTTGAGGGCAAGTACAATAAACAAATCAGATAGAATTTCTACTTTGCTAACTAAAACCTGTCAGAGCATAATATTGTTCAGTTTAAAAAAAAATTAAAGCTTTCATTTCAATTTGAACTTTTACACTTAGAAAATCCGCAAGTTAAAAATTTAGGACATACTTTCATTCTATATTCTATATACAACATTCTATATTAAATTTCGAACTTCAGAACATTAATCACTGCTCAACATTTAAGGTGGAGTCTAGTAGGAAGAATTTGAAAGCACGGCAACTGTCAAAGTACACTGATATACGGCGGCGGCATCATCAGTCTAGGCTAACCTGAAACCACTATGCTCATCCAAGTGTCTAGTTACACTAAACATTATACCGTATACTGTTTAAATATTTAGTGCGGAAGGACAGGCTCCGGCGTGGCCATTTGTACGAGTTTTAAGGTCAGACATTTAATAAACAAGGTACACTGAACGGGGAGTGGGCTTTGAAATGAGTGGGGGCGGAAGAAGGGGCTGGGGAAATTAATACTTGGCACAACCCTAAAAGCTCTGCAGAACGTCTTGGTATACTATTCTATTCAAGCAAGGGTAGCTAGAGCATGAAGACTGCAACCTTGCAGGGAGGTCGAGGAACCAGATCTTCCATCAGCTGGGGCTGGTCCAAAACTAATGGTTGCCTTGTATGAGCTACACAGTTCCCGAGGGTGATACGAGAACGATTCATATGTTTAGTGCTGAACTAAAGTCATGACAACTTCTGTATGCCACCGACATTCAGTGCTACCATACTCAATATGCAGTTTCAAATTATACCAATACAAAATACCTCTTGTTCAATTAACTGCACAGGCGGCAACTTATCTGTAAAGACGTAGTAGAGAATTTTAAGTGCTTTATTTGTTCGCTATAATTTAGTCTTACCCGAGCCAATGTGATGCTATCATCACAAAAATAGCACTTTGTATGTCTTGTCACCACACTCTCCACACCCTTGCAGTGGGTGAAAGTGTTAATCATAATTAGCTTGTTCAAGGCAGTGTACGCACTACCAAATTTACGAAAACATTACTTTTTACTGTTGTGTAGAAAGTCTGCAGTATGTTTTCTTCGGAGGGCTGTTATAAGACGATCTAATCAAACTAAGAGTATTAGTGTTCCAGACAAGACAATACTATATCTCTACCCCCCCCCCCCCACCCAAATGCATCGTCTCGTCGGCATGGGGACAAATTAATTACCCGAGAACATTCATTTTGAACAAATAGCCTGGATGGGTCATAACGGAAAGGATGATATTCTGGAGATAAGAATTTTGCACCAAGACTAAACTTGTCAAATTATCTGCACGTCTCTTGCAAATTGTCTCTGCAATATACCCAAGTCATAAAAGTATTTGTGTGTACGTCTGATACCATACTACTTGTGTAAAGAAGGAATTTTATATGTCTCAGAATGTTCGGCAATGTTTATTGTTGTTTGTGATGTGTATATGTATGAACACGTTCTACTGAACGGGGTGAGAAAAGCTTTAGCTACCTCATCCCTTTGTGTGTATTTTACCTCAATGAACTTATTTCTATTTCATTCTGGCATGTCCCATTGGCGGTGCTGGGGCTTATGTACTCTAACCTTATTGCCTAGCGACAGGAGCTTTACCCCATGCTAGGACAACCAAGCTATGAAACTGCTACAGACAGGATACCGTCTGATAAACCACTACTTGTAATAATTGTTGGGGGACAGGCAGCCAGTGTATATATACATGTTAGGCGTGTATCGCTGCCCCCCCCCCTCCTCCACCCGTAAGGCCTAACTACTGACCCTCCCCAGTTTTACACAAGCCGACTAACTTCTGGGTAACTTTACTGCTTTGTTAAAAGCAGCATTAGGCGATGTCAAACGCGCCCAACCATATCTTTATTATCAGAGATTAGACGAGAACGAACCAGACTGCTCTTAGTATAAAACTTAATATTTGATTTGCTCTTAAAATCTTATTGCTTCCACCATACCATTATGCAAGAATAAGCATCACTGGATACCCAGTGAAATTTGCAGTCTAGCACCGATACGCTATTTTGGCTGCTTCGGTTTGTACCTATAAATCCGATTTGTTTTTGTTAGATATACACACGAGTTGTTACATTCTTGTTCTTACATAATTCTTATCTTACATAAACACTACAAACTCTTGTTCCAGACAAAGCCATGAATATAATTTATGGATATAATCCAAGAATCTAAAATGAAACCATTTTAGAGAAGCATCTTTTTTGCCTACTGAATATAATATACCGACCTCACGGGGATGGGATGCAAGAATGCCAAATCAAAAGCAAGTCAACACCATGTGAACAGCTAGGCTTAATATAACTTGGGAGGGGAGGGGGGGTTCCAGTTCATTAACCTATTATACAGTACCTCTTCTGCCTAAGCCTCTAGGCTGGGTATAGGCTCAGTAGCGAGTTGTTATAGATTAAGCTAGTCTGAACAAGTTCCAAGTAGCACGGGCTATGGTGAGCCCGTAACTTACCTGATACAGGAGCGGGGCAAGTAGCACGGGCTAAGGTGAGCCAATGGAGGACTTACCTGGCACAGGAGCGGGCAGTAATGAGCTAAATTCAAACTTATAGTGCTCACCAAGAATCACGTGCAGGTGCGTCATCCACAATGTCTGAAGGTTAAAGAAATGACCGTGCATTCAAGACCGACTGCGAGGGAAATGTGGTATAATATTAGGCACCAGGCAACATCTCGGCAAGACTTTTCTGAATCTTCTCCCTGCCCAACCCAACACCCGTACAGACATCTGCCAAATGTCAAGCTACCATACAAAGAATGAATGCACAATAGCCAAGGCCGCCAACACCCAGGACCACCAAGCACCATCCCCCCACCCCTCCCACGCCCACATCCAGGGTCACAGAGCACGCACACCAACCCCAACCCCCCCAAACCCTTGATGCCTCAAGGTTAGAGATGATGTCTTGCTGGCGGCAAGCCGTGATGCAAAAGTTCTCTGCTCAGCTTCGCAATATCAGAGATGCATGTTAATTAAACCCATCCAACAACGGTGGTCTGTCTGGCCGTGTCATTTCCTAGCAAGCCAATCGCAACCACTCGTCCATCTCGCCAGCTATTTATTTACACCAGCGTGTTTATTTCACACCATATTTATATTTTATTTACACCAGCGTTCTACCCGTTTTGCCTACAGGCAAAACAAACCTATATTGTATAAAATATTTATTTTGTCAGTCCACATTGTTAATTTTTTAGAATGATGAAGCTAAACTTCATAGGCCTATTAGGTTTTATATGACATACGGTAAGATATGGACACGTTAGGCTATCATGTCTTTCAGAATTCCAAAAGAATACTTATGGGAGTATTTTGTATATTCCATCTATAATATGTAGATGGGTTGACCAAATCAAAACTGCAGTATCCACATTTAACCAACTAAATTTTAGGTTAAGGTAGCACATTACAACAGCCCTATCTGTAAAAATTGTGAAATTAGCATTGAGCACCAGTCACTATTGAAGGTGTAGATTTATTTGGCCCAAGACTATATGGACTTGCACCCAGGACACGCTAAACAGGCAAAGAACAGGATTGTTTGTCAGCATATAATTTTCCATGTATATTTTAGGCTTCTTAAGATGCGACCTTCGTATGAGCAAGAATTTTTACACTTGTGCCTCAGTTGCTATAAGTTTGTCATATGAAGATGGCCGGCTTATTCTATAGCAGTTATTTCCTCATCTTCAGAAATGTATTCATCTTAAATATTCTAACTTTCCCTTTTCTCACTTTCATGGTAATGGCTCTGGCTTCTGCCAGACATTCGAACCCAAGTTAGCTTGCATTGTTTTGAGGGTCCATAACGCCATCTGGGGCCTATACACTATCAGTTCTCGTTTGCCGTCTTTTTAATTTGACTTCTATAGAATCCTAGAATGCAATTTCAGAAATTAAAGGGTAGGCGACATGCATATGTAGTAGATGTACAGGATATTACCCCACAAGACAGTGCCAATATAATTTGTTTGGCTGGGCGAATGATTCGCGAGTCACTCAGATCAAGCACCACAGGGTTTAACCAATAATTGCATGAGGATTTATTTGCTTGTCTTCTTGAGAGAAGAGAAACAAGTTTAAACATCCTTATCACTAATAGTACCCCTATACAATACTATGATAATTTAATGAACAAGTTGGAAATTAACTTGTCAAGCATACATTTCTTCGTCTCTCCACCCTCATTCTTCCCCTTTTCCTGCCTCGTCCCCATTTGATCTCTTAACATTTACATTTATTGATATACCAAAAAGCTAGGGACTGCCAGCCATCTTCACGTATCTGTCACTTTTGTCCGACCACCTCTTAATAGGACCGTCCCTAACCTATTTATGGCCGTCCGGTACCAGAGACCTCTCGCCTTGAAAAGTTGGGTAAGGCTTAGGACAAACACAGATAAGGACAGATTAGGCTAGACTATCTTAGCCGACGTTCATCACATCCATGGGTGTACAACTATCGTTCAGATTTGCTTACTGTAGGTGCAGCATGCACATGACTAAAGCTGCCGCCCAGTTGGGTGGGTGTAGAGTAAGACTAGTAACATACTCAGATGTAAAGTGCCTTATAGTTAAGTGTAAGCCTCTTTTTTAACCACCGATAAAAAGATTATCGACATTTACATGTATTTGTGCAAATTATTGTACATGTACATTTATACATAACCTTAACAATTGGTTAACCACCTTCAAAAGATTGTCACTTGCTTAGCCGAACGAAGCTATTTGATTCAGTTCCTGAACCGATTGTGCGCCTCTAACCCGTCCCACCACCGCTCACGGGATGGGTTATAGGGTGCATAATTAAAAAATTGCATCTACTGAACACGTTATCTTCCTTCTCCCTGACCTCCCATTGAAACGATTAAGTTATCACTGATCCGTTTACTATATCAAGCTCGAGTGATAACCAGTGTTTTTAACATTCAACTAGCAAAGTTGAAGCTCACGTCCCTGTTTACTTCCCTTGCGTGTTGAACAGTTCTTCTCCTAGGGAAGACGACCAGGTAAAAATATTGTAGTCTTTTGTACACTTGCGCTAGCGCACAGACCTGCCAAGGCTGTTTCTCACCCTACCTGCCTGCCAAGAGAGGGGGGAGTGTGGTGGGAGGGTTTCGTGTTTACGTACATCCCAGCCAACTCTCCCCTAACACTCCCGACCTGTCCTCTGCTATCTTGGCCGCTTGCCTGGACTAGGTGAATTATCAGCGCTGTGAGCTGCCTTTCTTCCTATATCGTTTATCATTCCCTTCATTACTGTATCCGTTAATATTTCCTCAGTCTTCCTCTACTTGCTCCCCTCCGTCATGAAGGACGCTTTAAGCCTTAAATAATCACGTCTACGCGTACCATGTCACGTCGTCCCTTTCCTGCCCCAGCCAAGACTAGCAGTTTAAACTGTTAATCAATATTATATGGAGTTCAAAGCAAATTACAAAATACACCACTAGGCCGGTAATTTGTTGCATTTCGTAGTGTCAATATAACCAATGCATAGCATTTGTTAATTACCTTTTACCGAAACCAAGAGCCAAAATATTAAGAGCTCTAGCTCCTTAGGAGGTAGGCAACACCCGCTGCAAAGAAACTACAAGAACGAGCACAAAACTACCGAACAAGCAGCATGATGTCTAACAACCCAACAACCATAACGCAAACTCTGCACAACCCTCATAACACGCCCCCCCCTCCCACCGTCCATAGAAAAATAAACTATCAGCGTTACTTATCAAAGATAAACCAGTCACCACTACCCTCACTTTTCCATACGTTATATGAAGACTCCATATAGTCAACATACTTTATACTGCAATTACAGCTTTAGTTTATAGAACAGGCACATTGCTATCGACAGTTTTTTTTTTAGGGCAAGAGCGAGACAGGACGAGCATAAATCATTCGTTGTCCAGACTACTGCATGCATCGCCAGTTTTTAGTAGAAATTGCAACATTGGTAGATATAGCTGCCTCGCATGGATCTTTTAAGAGACTTTCTGCAGTTTATTCGTGAATGCTAAAGTCTATGGTTTCGTTATTGGTGAAATTAAGCACGTTTTGCTTAGGGAGGTTCCCCTAGTCAACAAACTACGCCCAAGCATGTAACCCACAACTAATTGTCCCGTTACCAATTTTACTGGCAGGTGAAGAGGCATCAGGCATTATAAAACTTTATAAAATCCAGTTCGCGGTCCATTTTTCAGAGGTTCAGTAAAACGAGGGAGGCGTATGGGAGGGAAGCCTATGAAGGATTGTATTAGAGGGGTTACGAGGTCTGGTAATGGAATGATGTTGCTGAGGAAGGTTGGAGGGAGGAGGGAGGGGGGGGTGTGAGCACGTGATCAGCGCCTGCCTCGCGCCAAGTCCCTGCAGCTGCTCGTTAATTTCCCTAGGTACCTGCATCTTTATGCCTATACGTCATTGAGTCTGGACCAGTCGCGCACATTTAACATTAAAGGGGCTCACTGGGAATACCAGACCGCCACTGGGTATACTACCCGTGAATGGCTCTACACAACGTTCATACCTCTGCCAGGTAAGGGAAACAACCTGGGCAATCGCAATTAGTTTCCAAGTATACAGCTACATAAATGTTTAGAAAAGTAAAAACTAAAGCATGGCAACCTAACTTAGATGCCAAATTTAATGCCTTGGCCATTTGAATATACAAAAAAAAAAAAAACTAAAATCACAAATTTAATTTCCCAAGTTTACCATGTTACAAACGGGTTAACGCTATAACTTTCCTAAAATCAAATAATGTAGGGGGGGGGGTGTTTATAGAACATGCAGTTTTGTTTTATTTAAGGTTTCCGCCTGATGACTACATGGGTGGGAGAGAGGGGGGGGGCCCCCCCAAGAACTAACCTTTACACTAGCCTACCCTAATCACTAGGCGCATAGTTGGCGTCAATTATACCAATCTACGGTAGCCTATACCGTTATTGAGAAGTTTATGGTAGTCATAATGGGTCAACAGTGGTATTCGTATCCGACTACGAATAGTTTACCCAGGTAACAGTAGAGTGGAACTGGGCATTGCGGTAGTGGGTTATGGCAGGCAGCAGCCAGGAAGGACAACAAAGGAATACCTGGCGAGGGAGAAGATGGTCGGGGTAGACCAGGAGTCAAGTCTACACAAGTATAGGTCAACCAGGTAACCACCGTCCTGCCCGTCCACCACAACTACGCCACTTTAGTACAATAACCGCCGATAAAACTCTGGCCGCAAAAGTTATATTAATCAACCCAACACGCTAATGTGCCTAGGCCTAACATGCGTAATCACAACATACCACAGTTTAAACTGGCTTCAGATAGCAAGTGTTTCCTTAATAGCCTGTGCTCACGCAGCAGTGAATAGGTACCACTGGTTAATTATAACAACTCAGTGGGACGTATTCCGGGGGGAAATTAGGGTTAAGGACCTCCCCAAAACGGTATGTGCTAGTGGCTTTACAAAAAAAATTTAAGAACTTTTGCATATATAAAAATAAATAAAATGAATAAAGAACAAGTAAAGAGGCACTAGAATACTCACTCTTGTGTTTACTAGTGCCGTTAAAGAGCGCTCGCAGCAGGGACGACATGACTCCCACCACAGTATTACCACAACTCTTAAGAGCAGTACACCACGATACACCAGCTGACCTCGCCCTTAATGTATTACACACTTCAGCGTATATATATACACACAACACGAGCAGATGTACAAGCGTCACAGGAGAAGACAGGACGTGAGGTATCCCAGCGATGGTCGACTCCACTCTGCTGCTTCACTCTCTTGACACCCCGCCAAACGTTGGCCCAGTTGCCACCTCCTCACTTTCCTTCCCTGTAAACAAACCACTTTTACAAAGCCAAACAAGATACAACTACGAACCGTTTGACTCTTAACCTATTAACAAATTACACCGCAATCCTTCTAAACTAATAAAAACCATAAAAATGTAGTAAATCTAGGTCATATATAAGCAAGTGCACCACCACCAGCTGGTCGATGGCGGTAGGGCTCCAATAGTCATGCGCGCCGGGCTTTAAACCAATCAAAAGGGGGCATTTAAACCTTTCCAGGGGGAAATGGGACATCTTGGCTCATTTCTGGAAGATGGGTCGTTAAGGTAGTGTTGTAGAGGAGTTACGAGACACGTAGGGGTCAGGCCCTCGGCTCGTTACGAGTTGACGAGAGGTCGTTGTGTACAGTTCGTGGCACAGAGATGGAGATTCTTCAAATATTTAGGTATATCGAAGGGTTATATTTTCATATTAAGGGACCATGATCGCTTCTTTTGTACTGTGTGAGCACTGTTATATACTGTGTGAGCACTGTTATATACTGTGTGAGCACTGTTATATACTGTGTGAGCACTGTTATATACTGTGTGAGCACCGTTGTTCACTGTGTGAGCACCGTTGTTCACTGTGTGAGCACTGTTATATACTGTTTGAGCACTGTTATATACTGTGTGAGCACCGTTGTCCACTGTGTGAGTTAACCTTCACTTTTTACCTCTTCATTGATGCAGTTTATGATGTAATTTTCATATATATTCGATTAAACATGAAAATGTTTAGTGTTGGCTATAATATGCCTCTAGTTGGCCACACCTGTACCACACCGTCCCTACAGTTGGCCACACCTGTACCACACCGTCCCTACAGTTGGCCACACCTGTACCACACCGTCCCTGTAGTTGGTCACACCTGCACCACACCGTCCCTGTAGTTGGCCACACCTGTACCACACCGTCCCTGTAGTTGGCCACACCTGCACCACACCGTCCCTGTAGTTGGCCACACCTGTACCACACCGTCCCTGTAGTTGGCCACACCTGCACCACACTGTCCCTGTAGTTGGCCACACCTGCACCACACCGTCCCTGTAGTTGGCCACACCTGCACCACACCGTCCCTGTAGTTGGCCACACCTGCACCACACCGTCCCTGTAGTTGGCCACACCTGCACCACACCGTCCCTGTAGTTGGCCACACCTGTACCACACCGTCCCTGTAGTTGGCCACACCTGCACCACACCGTCCCTGTAGTTGGCCACACCTGCACCACACCGTCCCTGTAGTTGGCCACACCTGCACCACACCGTCCCTGTAGTTGGCCACACCTGCACCACACCGTCCCTGTAGTTGGCCACACCTGTACCACACCGTCCCTGTAGTTGGCCACACCTGCACCACACCGTCCCCTGCAGTTGGCCACACCTGCACCACACCGTCCCCTGCAGTTGGCCACACCTGCACCACACCGTCCCTGTAGTTGGCCACACCTGCACCACACCGTCCCTGTAGTTGGCCACACCTGCACCACACCGTCCCTGTAGTTGGCCACACCTGCACCACACCGTCCCTGTAGTTGGCCACACCTGTACCACACCGTCCCTGTAGTTGGCCACACCTGCACAACACCGTCCCTGTAGTTGGCCACACCTGCACCACACCGTCCCTGTAGTTGGCCACACCTGCACCACACTGTCCCTGTAGTTGGCCACACCTGCACCACACCATCCCTGTAGTTGGCCACACCGTCCCTGTAGTTGGCCACACCTGCACCACACCGTCCCTGTAGTTGGCCACACCTGCACCACACCGTCCCTGTAGTTGGCCACACCTGCACCACACCGTCCCTGTAGTTGGCCACACCTGCAGCACACCGTCCCTGTAGTTGGCCACACCTGTACCACACCGTCCCTGTAGTTGGCCACACCTGCACCACACCGTCCCCTGAAGTTGGCCACACCTGCACCACACCGTCCCCTGCAGTTGGCCACACCTGCACCACACCGTCCCTGTAGTTGGCCACACCTGCACCACACCGTCCCTGTAGTTGGCCACACCTGCACCACACCGTCCCTGTAGTTGGCCACACCTGCACCACACCGTCCCTGTAGTTGGCCACACCTGTACCACACCGTCCCTGTAGTTGGCCAAACCTGCACAACACCGTCCCTGTAGTTGGCCACACCTGCACCACACCGTCCCTGTAGTTGGCCACACCTGCACCACACTGTCCCTGTAGTTGGCCACACCTGCACCACACCATCCCTGTAGTTGGCCACACCGTCCCTGTAGTTGGCCACACCTGCACCACACCGTCCCTGTAGTTGGCCACACCTGCACCACACCGTCCCTGTAGTTGGCCACACCTGCACCACACCGTCCCTGTAGTTGGCCACACCTGCACCACACCGTCCCTGCAGTTGGCCACACCTGCACCACACCATCCCTGCAGTTGGCCACACCTGCACCACACCATCCCTGTAGTTGGCCACACCTGCACCACACCGTCCCTGCAGTTGGCCACACCTGCACCACACCGTCCCTGTAGTTGGCCACACCTGCACCAGACTGTCCCTGTAGTTGGCCACACCTGCACCACACCGTCCCTGTAGTTGGCCACACCTGCACCACACCATCCCTGCAGTTGGCCACACCTGCACCACACCGTCCCTGTAGTTGGCCACACCTGCACCACACCGTCCCCTGCAGTTGGCCACACCTGCACCAGACTGTCCCTGTAGTTGGCCACACCTGCACCACACCGTCCCTGCAGTTGGCCACACCTGCACCACACCATCCCTGTAGTTGGCCACACCTGCACCACACCATCCCTGCAGTTGGCCACACCTGCACCACACCATCCCTGTAGTTGGCCACACCTGCACCAGACTGTCCCTGTAGTTGGCCACACCTGCACCACACCGTCCCTGCAGTTGGCCACACCTGCAGTTGGCCACACCTGCACCACACCCTAGCCTACACGAACCTATTGTTTTAATCTGTTTCCACTACCTCTCCCGACCTCAATATTATTGATTGATGACTGATGAGGATTAAGCCACCCAAAAGGTGGCACGGGCATGAATAGCCCGTAAGTGGTGGCCCTTTTGAGCCATTACCAGTATCAAGAGCTGATACTGGAGATCTGTGGAGGTGCGGCTGCACCCTGCGTGACGGGAGATGTCTCCCCGTTCAATATTATTCATTAGGATCTGATAATATAGAACATGATCAATCAGACTGTTTTCCCTAGCTTGGGAAAACCCAAGCCACAATAAACGTAGCTTAAATGAATGAAGTTTGAAACTTCTTTCATTTAAATTAGGTTGAGGTTATTGCAATAATGAAAGGGACGTTAATATCGCGCTATATAATAGTAATTAGAGTGAGTAAGATATTATAGCACTAATCTAACGCGTCGCATTTTTTCACGGAATAGACCAATGCGTTAAAAATGTGACGTATTATTAAAATTTTAGCATGGTAATATTGACGCTTTGTACGATGCGTCTTCGTCTTTGGCTTCGTCTTATGATTCGTCGTCAAGTTAGGTGGGTTGATTGGGTTTGTGTATTTCTGGTAATGCAAAAGGTTGCGGGTTTTTTTTTTTTTTTTTTTTACGTAGTAAATGGAACGGTCTGAAATATGTCTGTAAGAAAAAAATGGCTGTATATCTGTCTGAGAAAGGTTGGAGGCTAGGAGCTAGCCTTACACAACTTTGCAGGGTGGCTAGTGAGGGGTTGATGACCAACATGGGCCGGGGAGTGGCGTACCCCATTCCTCCCATTAAAAGGTGTGCGCAGCTTCTATGATGGACAGCACCGCTCCTGTGCCAGGTATGTCCACTACGGGCTCACCATAGCCCATGCTACTTACCCTGCTCTTGTGCCAGGTAAGTTACGGGCTCACCATAGCCCATGCTACTTACTCCGCTCTTGTGCCAGGTAAGTTACGGGCTCACCATAGCCCATGCTACTTACCCCGCTCTTGTGCCAGGTAAGTTACGGGCTCACCATAGCCCATGCTACTTACCCCGCTCTTGTGCCAGGTAAGTTACGGGCTCACCATAGCCCGTGCTACTTGGAACTTGTTCAGAGTAGCTGGGTCTATAACAACAACAAAACTCCATGATGGCTGTCACGAATCCGTTATTTCCAGGTGAAAGGAATAACGATCCTGTAACTTTGAAACAGAAGTTACCTGGTACCTGGCTGGTTATTGGCATTTAAGAGGAAATAAAGATGTTAGGCATTGCCTTAGGTTGTCTCGTGTGATTATAATATATGTGTAGTGTGCTGTATGGGTTATATATGCAAGGACACGCTGAACGTGACCAGTTACAAACTGCCAGAGGTACTTGTAGCCGCGTGTGTGTATTTGTGTAGGTGATTAAATATGTATGTGTATGTATATATGTATATATATATGTACATGTGTGTATGAGTATGTATACATGTATATATAACATTAGTATGTAATAGCGTCATTGTATTTGCTTAGCTAAACGAACTAGAGGGTTCAGTTCCTGAATCGATTATGTGCCTCTGCACCACCGCCCACGGGATGGGTATAGGGTTCATAATAAAAGAAATTGAATTGCATAGCCCGTGGGAGCGAGAGGGTCGTGTAGGCGGCTTAAGCACCGTGACCTGAGGTTGAAATTGAAATAAGTTTATTGAGGTAAAATACACACAAAGGGATGAGGTAGCTCAAGCTATTCTCACCCCGTACCGACCTGAGGTTGGGCTGAGCGAGTACCATCCACAGGGAAATGGGAAGTAAATTAGTGGAAATGTAACCAGTAATATGTTTGAAATTGCTGGACCCAGAGAGATGTTAACAGGAATCTGGGTTCATATAGTAATAGCTTATTGATGGCGGTTTTAGGCTAAGTGTGTTTCAGACTCCTAATGTAAAGTGGAAATAGTGGGATTTGATTCATGGGTACAAGGAACGCCGCCCTAATGGCGGCTGGTTAATTGTAAAGTGAATGATGTACCTGTAAGTTTCAGTAAGGAAACCTATTGCA